AATGAATTACAGTAGATGGGGTAGAGAGAGAAGATGGGAGGGGAGGGGAGGGGAGGGGGGATAGTAGAAGATAGGAAAGGTAGCAGAATACAACAGTCACTAATATGGCATTATGTAAAAATGTGGATGTATAACCGATGTGATTCTGCAATCTGTATTTGGGATAAAAATGGGAGTTTATAACCCACTTGAATCTAATGTATGAAATATGATATGTCAAGAGCTTTGTAATGTTTTGAACAACCAATAAAAAAAAATGAATGCATTTCTGATACATACAGTGGCACAGATGTATCTCAAAAATAATTTAGACAGAAAATTCAAACACAAAAAATACATGTACATAAATCCTTGCACATAAAGTTCAAAAACAGGCAACAAAATGGATGATTCTCATAAATACAATGTATATAGCAAAACAAGCCAGGTACCAAAGAGTATACATAGATAATTCTATTTTTAAAAGGCAAAAATCTATGCTATTTAAAGTTAAGATAATGATTACCTTTTGGGAAATGGTAATTATTAGGAAGGAGCACAGAGGGGGATTCTGGGATGCTAATAATATTCTGTTTCCTGATCAGATGAAAATAGATTGATCTTCACATTTATTATATGTGCATTTTAATGATTCTATATTACACTTCAAAAATACATAAGTATTTTTTAAAAACAAAAAAATATACATGCATATAAACTAACAATAAGCATTAGACAAAAACACATAATTAAAAGATATAGAAATGAGAATGTAGAGAGGGTAATGGAGAATAGAAATAAAGGATTTCTTCTGCTATTCCCACACCTGGATCATTTCATTTAGTACACATGCAGCAACTCTGAATCAGAGTTGGCCTCTATCCTGTGGAGTGGGAAGAGAGGCAGGCCCAGCCTACTCATTTGTGGGACCAGGAAAAAAATTCAAATAGAGACCCATATACCATATATCTAAAAAATGAGAAGTTTTAAACCAAGCTGTTGAGTAAAGTATGTTCCACCTGCCTGCCTGCCTACCTACCTACCTACATACAGACATACTCAAACACACACACACATACCATAATGATCAGGAATTCCAGGTTCAAATTTAGAATCTTCACACTCTTCCAGATCCCTGGCCCAATCCTCTTCTCTTCTCATCCTGGCTAAGTCTCACTTTGCAGAAAACCTCACAAGTGCACATATGGACACCTCAGTACTTCTAAATTCCATCCAAACTTCTGTATTCATCCAATCCTTAGGCCTGAGGGTGTACACCAGCAGTACAATCTTCCCTTGAAAAGGCTGCATGAGAGGAAAAGGTTCACACAGGTGCTGAAACTAGGCTGAAGCCATATGGGCATGAATTACAGAGTCATCTGTACTAGAAGAGAGGTTTAGATATTGCATAGGTTCTGCATAAGCTCATGAACTCCTTGCCTCATAGGAAAGACATAGCCAAAGGCCCAAGCTGAAGAGCAATAGTAGAGACAAGAGTGCCCTATTCTCCCACCCAAACTCACCAAATTGAGCAGTTGACATTTGCTATATTACTCTGCTTTCCATCACTGTGACAAAATACCTAAGATAAGCATCTTAATAAAGGGAAAAGTTTATTTCAGTTCATGGTTTCTGAGGTTTTAGTCTATTGTCATTTGGCCCTGCTGCTTTTTGCCTGTGGCAGCACAGTTCATCATGACAAGAGTGTAGGGAAGAAGTTGCTCACCTCATGGCAGCCAGGAAGCAAAAGGGAGAAACAGGAAGTGGCTGGGGCCCCAATATTCCCTTCAAGGACATACTCCAGTGACCTAACCTCCCTCCACTAGGCTTTATTTTTAAAAAGGTTCCACTACCTCCCAGTAGCACCACAGGCTAGTGAACAAACCTTTAACACATGGGCCTTTGAGGGTCACCTATCCAAACCACAGCACCTGCCCTATACTTTACAATCTATTGTGAACCTTCACATATAATGATCTTAATCAGTTCCCCCACAATCTTGTAAGATTCTAACATACTTCCACTTGAGAAATGAGAAAACTGAGACAAAGTGACTTGCCCAAAATTAAGATTAAATTAAAAAGTGAGCACTGCTAGTCTCCACAGAAGGATTTTTCCTTCCAATCTTCAAAGGTCATACTCTTTCTATTATTCATCACTGCCATGTATCCCCCAATTGTCTAGAGAACTTATAGGGCTAAAATGGAATTGGAAATTTTAAATACATGGTTGAAATGTTTTGGAAGAAGCCCAGAGTAGGGAAGGAAATTTAACACCAAATACAGAGCAGCTTCTAGGAAAGAGCCTGGGCCCTGAGCAAAATTCATCACTGGGACAAAGACTGCTTTATAGAGGTAGAAATCATAACTGAGTCCTGGGGGCTCCATTCCCACCCAAACCACAAAATTATGGCCTTTAACACATTTAAGCAATCCCCACCCAAATTCCACACCAATTACATGGGGGCCCAGCTCCATAGCTCTCCTCTCTTCACCACCCCGCTGAAAATACTTTATTAATGAAAGAGCAGCATAAAGCCACTAGGCTTGATCTACTCAGAAACAATCCAAAGACAGCAGCCTGGCACCAACCACAAGTGATACCCGACCCTCCTCCAGCAAGGACCTACTGAGGCTACGCTCCCCTCTAATTACCAGGGTGCCTGGCTCAGGGCTTAGGCAGTTATTTAGAGAAACATTGCCTGCTCCAAGCACAGATATCCACGAGGCTGGGGCTGCAGCACTGTCTGCTCAAAGCCAGCTGCCTAAAGCTGTTATCTCCTCATTCTACTAACCTGGGACACCTTGGCCCACCTGAACACCTTATCTCATAGCATCATGTCTCTGGCACACACAGCTGCAGAGTATATGCTCTCTGATGCCTTGCTGCCTGACCGAAAGGGCTCCCGCCTGAAAGGACTGCGCCTGGAACTGCCCATGGACCAGATGATCAAGTTTGTTGCTGTGGGCTTCCCCTTATTGCTGATGTCTCTGGCTTTTGCCCAAGAGTTCTCCTCCGGTAAGTTGCTTCCAAGAGCCAGTGAGAGACCCCACTTCAATGTATTCTTTGCATGATCTCTGAAGATAAATGGCTCCCACATTGACTAGGTTTCATGACTTTGGGCTGGGCCAAATTACCTAAAGGACAGACCATGCATGAGTTTAGGACACGAGCAAAGCAGAGGCACCAAAAATTTTAAAAGTCACCTCTGACATTTTACAATAAGAAATAATTAGTCATGATTTCAGTATTCTTATGTTTTATATCACTTTCATAATTAATATTTTACTTTAGTTTGCATATAGATAATAGAGGTTGGGGCCTCGTAATCTTTTCAGGACCTAATCAGCCATGTTGTTGACAAGTGTCTTATTTCCTCTGAGCCTTCTCCACACACCCACCTCCAATGTTACTGATTTGAGAATATATATTAAGGGCCGGACACAGCCACATTCAGAGGTGCTAAAAAAACCTACTGCTTTCTCCAAAAACCCCAGTCACACACAGAGAAACTAACATACACATGTTTATGGTGTTTTAATTACTGAATTTACCCACAAATCCACTACCTCTATTAAAAAGCATATAGATTTCCTTAGAATTGGGACTTCTGGCTTTCTTTTTTGGCCATTCCATTTGCTTATTACATTTCCCAGTGACGTGTGCCTACCTCCCACTGCCCCTTCATTCATCCAGAAGAAGGGGAAAGGTATTGGCTCACAGCTCTGCCTCTTTCTAGAGAATGATGGAAAAACAAAAAAATAAGAGACTCTCCCCCAAGCCTACTTTCCTTTCTGCCTACTTTGCCTGTCCTTTCTCTTTTGGGTTCAGAAGTTCAGGTAATTAATCCTCTATGTTTTAAAATCTAAACGATGTCAGCTTTTTCAGGAAGGAGATACCACCATCACACTGCAAGTCTGGGTGAGAAACTGCAGGTGTGTAGGGATACCCCATCCCCTGGGAATCCAGGGGGGGAAATTTGAGAGAAAAGAATAATCAGACCAGGCTGAGACAGTACACTGACAAGCAAAAGCCAAACAATAGGGAGCTATCCTGTCATGCCCTGTCCTCCCAAGACACAGCAGTGCCAACCCCAAAAAACTAGAGCATGAGAAGATAGTGTCTGCCACACACATAAATTCAGAGTTGTGAAGGTGACCTCTACAAAACCCTTAGACAGTGGCCCCTTCAAATTTGCATTCCCATTTCCAACTCAATGCTGCCTCAGAGTTGTATTCTTATTCCAGGGTCTCCAATCAGCTGCTTTTCTCCAAGTAACTTCAGTGTCCGACAGGCTGCATATGTGGACAGTTCCTGTTGGGACTCCTTGGTTCACCATGAACAGGATGAGGCTGGCGGGTACAAGATAAAATCTCTCTGGCCCCACAAGGTAAAGCAGACAGAGACTGTCACCCTGGCTTCAGAGCAGGGTGGCAGGAGAGAGAGGTATATCATTATATTCCTTCTCATCTCCTTCCCCCATCTTGCCCCAGTGGCTGACTTTCATGTTCCACACATTCTTCAAATTCTGCTGATCTTCAGCTGGCCACTTTTATCTGACTGGATGCCTTGTACCAGTAGGTGAAGCTTGTCGACAAGCAGCCTTTAGCTGAAGGTGATCCCTTGGGTCTATTCCATTGAGGGAGAAAAAAAAAAACTCAAATATATTTTATCCTTTTCTTGGGCTGATCACTACTCTCTGAGAAGAGTCATTCAGTTCTTAACCTGTGGGGATGGGCAGGGCGCAATTAGTTTTAAGCCTGGTTGTCAGCACTCTGGGAACTCCACTCAGTATTCATTCAGCTGACCCCCCGTTCTCAGTATGGTTCCTCTGCCCTCAGTAAGCTCAAATACAGAGTTTAATCTGGTTTAATCTCTACACAGTAAACTTCTATCCTGTCAGGAAGGGCCAGGTTGGTTGCTGGAATGCATAACATTACAGAAAAGAACTTCTGGTCTATTTCTCAACACAGATTTTTCAATTTTCTGCTGTTAGCCCTCCTACATGCTCATTGCTCAAGTTCTTCCATATCTCCAATTCCTTTCTGGCTCTGAGGTACAAATAGCTCTCTTATCCCTGCCTCAACTCCCCACTCTCCCCACATGCTGGTGTCTTCTGATTTCTAGCTTTCCAATATTCTGTTCCTCATCTCCTCTCCTGTTTTGTTTTTGTTTGCTTATTTGTTTGCTTGTTTGTTTCCTCTCCTGGTACTAAGGACTGCACCTAGGGGAGTTCTACCACTCACATCCCTGGTCCATTTTATTTTTTATTTTGAGACAGGATTTTGCTAACTTGCCCAGGCTGGCCTCAAACTTGTGATCCTCCCACCTCAACCTCCTGAGTCATTGGGATTACAGCCATGAGTCCAGCCTCTCCAATTCTCTTTGTCCTTTAAAATCTTGTCTTTCTTTTTAATATTTTATTGTCATGCTAGTGGGATTTATGTATTTATTGATTGATTGATTGATTGATTGATTGATTGTACTAGGGATTGAACCTAGAGGTACTTTATCACTGACTGAAATCCTCAGTCCTTTTTATGTTTTATTTTAAGGCAGGGTCTCACTAAATTGCTAGGGCCTCACTAAATTGCTGAGGCTGGCCTTGAACTTGCGATCCTCTTGCCTCAGCCTCTAGAGCCACTGGGATTATAGGTGTGTGCTTCCATTTCCAGCTTTAAAGAGTTTTATGAGGGAACAATGGTAACATGTCTGTTCAGTTCACCATGTTTCGTCAGAAGTCATTCAAGGGTAGTGATTTCTTAGTGATGATCACTAACAAGGCCTCCAAATACCATACTTCTAGGATAGAAGGATAGAGACAATGGAGAGAGACCAGAAGGCCTCTGCCACTGGCAGTTCAAGCAGAAATTAGATGGTAACAAGTTCAAGATGTCACAGAGGGGATTTACAAGTCAAGAAAAAATTAGATACCTGATCATCAAAGTCAATGGGAAATTCTCTAAACCCAGATCCTCCAACTCCACCTCAAACCTATAGAAACACTCCACAAAGGTAAAAAGCTTAGTTTCAAGGAAAGTTATTTCTTGGACAGGAGTGAAAAGATTCTTTCTCTTGTATCCTCATATTCCTAACCTTCCTTCCTTAGTTCAGAAAGCAAGGGCACGCACACACACACGGATGCAATAAAATCCATACCCTCCTTTTTTCTCTCCAAACTCTCTTCTAAAAGGAAAAAACATCCCTAGATTAGGAGAAGGTATTGGTCAAGTAGTCATTAAGGGAATATGCTCCCAAATCACCCAGCCCAGCTATAAATCCTGTCACCCCTCCTGGGTGTGTAACCCTGTACAAGCACTTAATCTTCTCATACTTCAGTTCCTTTATCTGTTTAAAAAAAAAAAGATACTAATCATACCTACCTGATAGCATCTTTGTGAAAAGCAAATAAAATAATGAATGCTAAATGCCTACCAAAAACATGACCTTAGAAACCTTTACAAGTAGAGATTTTTCTGTGAGCAAAATAGTAGGCCCAACCCAGTTTCGGGTTTAAGTATGATGAGGAAATCTAAGGAAAAGTTCTTATTATAGTTTGTTAAGGCTGCTATAATAAAGTACCACAAACTTTGGCTTACAGGACAGAAATGTACTGTCTCATAGTTTTAGTAGTCAGTAGGATTGGATCCTCTGAGGGTTGTGAAGAATGGATCTTCAAGGCCCTTCTCTTTGGCTTATAGATTCATCACCTTGGGTGTTCTCCCTGTGTGCACCTCTTCACATGATGTATGTGTATATGTAAAAAACATCAGTCATAATGGACGAGGAGCCTACCCTATTCCAGTTTAATCTTATTTTAAATTATCTAATTATATCTGCAACAACCGTATTTCCAAATATGATTTCAAGCGGAGGTTCTAAGGATTGAGATGCCCACATATTGGGGAGGGAGACATAAATACAATTCAATCCATCTCAGTCCCCTATCCTATGTAGCTAATAGTATAGTTAAAGAGACAAGGCTTATGCATTTCTGAAAGTCAGTTCACAGATCTATATACATGAAAGAACCCCAAAAGAATTCCAAGATGGTTTCTGATGGTGTAATTTGGCATTACCAAAAATTGCAAAGATGAGAAAATACCAGTGTATATTACAGAAGTCAGGGAAGGCTACATGGAAGAAATGTCATGGCTATGGACATTGTTGACATGGCCTAGGATGACATGGCACTGTTGGCTGTAACCTCAGGCCATCTACTCACCCCAACACATTTGCAAGGGAACAAGAAGGGAGATAGAGATACACATACACACACATATCCCATGCCCTCTCATTCTCACTCTTTCTCTTCCCCTGGGGCCCTAGATAGACCACAGATCAGAAAAACTATATGAATGTGGGGAACAGGAAGATCTGCTGTCCCTTTCCTACTGGACCTCATTATATTCTTTCATATTGATAGAGAGCCTTAGGTGGCCCACTTCCCATGCTGTCTTCCCCTTCTGAAATAGGAACTGGGGAGAAAAAAGCCCTCACTTACTACGGTCACTCCAGGCTCAACACCCTGAGCCACCTGCTCAGCCAACTTTTGTCCTACAGGCCCTCCCCTACTCCCTTCTGGCCCTGGCCATGGCCATGTACCTGCCAGTACTGCTGTGGCAGTATGCAGCTGTTCCAGCCCTCAGCTCAGATCTGCTGTTCATCATCAGCGAACTAGACAAATCCTATAATCGTTCCATCCGCCTGGTGCAGCACATGTTGAAGATCCGGCAGAAGAGCTCTGACCCGCTTGTCTTCTGGGATGAACTGGAAAAGTGAGTTGTTTTTTCAGTCTTTTCTTGAAGGATAAAATGGTACCCATGCACCATAATCTTTAAAATGTCCTCTATGTTATCTTTCTTAAGGGAGCAAAGTTACCATCATTTCATGAACTGTCATTGCTGTAAAGAGAGAAGAGAAAGGCCTGCTACCTGCAGTTTACAGATGAACACTCTGAGCCACAAAGGGATTAATCTCTCTAAAATACCACTTCTATACACTATTCCTCTTCTCAGAAACCTTAAATAGCTCTTCCCAGATCTACCAAAACTACCCAAAATCTCCTAAATATTTGCTTCAACATATCCAACTACTTTTTCAAGCATCTAACTAACTATACATTGAGTATTTCAAACCCAAAAAATCCAATATCCATAATGGTCAAAATCCAAAAATTTTTGAGCATTTTTAGTAAAATTTATGCAAATATTCTCAAACCTGAAAAACTTCAAAATCTGAAACACTTCTGGTCCCAGGCATTTTAAATAAGGGATCCTCAACCAGATGACAGAAACCTTTCACTCTACCTAAGCAGTCTCCCTCTTTTCCACTGGAAAAAAAAATCATTTATTTAGTGCATTATTCATACATCTGAGTATCAGAGACTATACTGGGTGCTTTGGATACATGGGGGGGGGGGCAACAAAGCTATCATTATTCATGTGGAGCTTATATTTACTAGAGGGAAAACAGATAAAAAGTAGAACACACCAGTAAAATACATAAGGGGATGATAACTAGTATGAAGAAAAAGTAAAACAGGGGAAAGGGTTCTGGAAAGCTGAACAATTAACAGTAGCTTTAAATAGAGTGACCATAATTGAGCCATGATTTAAAATCATATTGTTTCACATTTATGCACACACTATATACTCTCTAAAAAGTTCCCCTCTACCTTTTGAAGCCCAGTTTAAGCCAATATTCTCTTTTAAAGTTTTCTGCACATTCCAACCTGCACTGTTACTCCATCTCCTAACTTTTGTAATGACTATGGTTTGTATCAATCAATTTAGCAACATATCAAGTATTAATTTCATTGAATATTTGCATGTTTTGTCTACTCCTTCCCTCACAACAAGACTCTCCTTCCCTCACAACAAGACTCTAAGCTTCTTTGGAACAGAGACTGGTTTACCTAACTGAACACCACAATTCTCAACAAATATTTGTCATCACACTCGTTTGTATAAAATAAATGAACTGGTCCAAAAACCATACAGAGAGTACACAGCCAAGAACTAGAACACATTTAGACTCCCAATCCAGTGCTAATTTTATTAGCCTATTGCTTCCAAAGGGTCCTATTTCTGCTTACAGTTTTAGTGTGTGACTTGCTGGGCAAAAATCCAAAGTGATTGTTCATTATTCATCAATCATCCCCCAGGTTTATCACATTGTACTCAGTACTTGGAGAAATGAGTTATACTTACATCTTTTGGGAGAAGAATCATGGTTATGCTTGGGGAAGGCAGATCTTCAATTAACCAAGAATTCCATAATGAATGCACATATTTGTTAGTTTCCCACATGACTCTTGGGATATGGTTCTACATATGGTGCTTCCTAACTTTCCTCCTTTCTTTCCCTGTGCAGGGCCCGAAAAGAACGATACTTTGAATTCCCCCTACTAGAGCGGTACCTGGCATGTAAGCAGCGCTCACATTCACTAGTGGCCACCTACCTCCTGAGGAACTCCCTTTTGCTCCTCTTTACCTCAGCCACATACCTGTACCTTGGCCACTTTCATCTGGATGTCTTCTTCCAAGAAGAATTCAGCTGCTCCATCAAGGCAGGGTTACTACATGATGAAACCCATGTCCCTGACCTGATTACATGCAGGCTGACCTCCCTATCCATTTTTCAGATTGTCAGCCTCTCCAGTGCAGCAATATACACCTTATTGGTTCCTGTGATAATATACAACTTCACACGGCTGTGTCAGTGGGACAAACGACTCCTATCTGTATATGAGATGCTCCCAGCTTTTGATCTCCTCAGCAGAAAGATGCTGGGATGCCCAATCAATGACCTCAATGTAATTCTTCTTTTCCTCCGAGCCAACATCTCTGAGCTCATCTCTTTTAGCTGGTTGAGTGTCTTATGTGTGTTGAAGGACACAACCATCCAGAAGCATAACATTGACACAGTGGTCGATTTCATGACGTTACTGGCTGGCTTGGAACCCTCAAAACCCAAACATCTCACCCAACAGATGTGTGATGAACATCCATAGTTAGTTTATAAAGAAACCACGCAATGAGAAATTCTGTGGAAAGCAAAAGTCTTTCACCATCTTTAAAAGTCACATACAGGGATGGGGATGTGGCTCAAGCAGTAGCGTGCTCGCCTGGCATGCGTGCGGCCCGGGTTCAATCCTCAGCACCACATACAAACAAAGATGTTGTGCCCGCCGAAAACTAAAAAATAAATATTAAAATTCTCAAAAAAAAAATAAATAAATAAAAGTCACATACAGCAATACACACACACAAAAAAAATATATCTACTTTAGCATTGCCAAGCTTGGATTCACCTGACTTACATAACCTTTATCTGTTAAGAAGATAAAATCAATATACAGAAACAAATGTGAAAGCTGGAATTGAAGAGTCAAAGAACTAAAAAATTAGATTCTAAAGGCTATTTATAAAGACTAGTTCTCCTTACTATATTCACTCCATAGACCTTCTAGGATGCATACATGGACTTCCCCCAAGAGAGAAAGTAGAGCAATCTGGTAAGAGATTAATAAAGATGTGAAACTCTTTGGTGTGGCCTAAAATCCTAGGAATTTGCCCAGACTGCTTTGGGGAATTCATCAGCCTTACCAGGCCCTTTGTGGTCTGTAAAATAATCCAAGAGATAATGATGGCTTCAATTTATAATCTGGTCTTAGAGTTTAAGACAAGAGAGGCAGGACCATGCATAGCCATGAGAAAAGTCTTGAAATGTCTAGATACACTTTTCATCATCGAAATCAAGGAYTCGTTTCACCAGGGACTGGGATTATGGGCTACTATACCTTCACATACAGCCACTAAATAGCAAACATTTAGAACTACACAGGATAAACAGTAAAGTACTATTGAGCCCCTCCTCTCCTTCTCTTATTCATCAATCCATCCTTATACTTAACTCCAAATCCTATGTCTGGATTTAATGGATCCTTGATCCAGTTCCATGGTATTCAGCCCACAATACAATGATGTCTCACATTTTATATTTCTTTTTAAAGCTGCATATTATCACTTCTTCAGAAAAATCATTGCATGGACCCTCCTTTCTTCATATAAGTAAAAAAGCTATGTTGCTTCTAACTTAAATTACTTTTAAAAAGCAAACACTGTTGATGTACAGACATTCATTAATGACTTTCTATTGTCATTAAGAAATCCACCTCTTCAGTTGCTACACAAAGCCTTTCATGATCTAAAACCTGYCCACTACTTCAGTCTCTCCTCTTGCTTCCCATACAGCTTTCACTTGTATCAGCCACTTGCAGTTCCTGGGTTTTTCCTGATGCTCAGTTTTTTAATATATTGTCTCCACTGCCTGGGAGACCTTCCTCTGTTCTTCACTAAGCCAGCCACTACTTCTCCTTCAGAGTGTACCTGGACACATTTCCTTCAAAAAACCTTCCTGTTTACTCCCTTCTTTCCTTACTGGGTGCTGCCATATCAAACAAAACCTACCTCTGAAATAAATTTACTACATTGTATTAATATCGCCAATTCATTTGTCTTAAGTTTGCTAAAGGTTGGGTCATAAAATAAAAATTCTTCTACACAAATTAGTAAAAGAATGCTCAGTAGCACCACATTCTTTGCAGCATGCAAATCCAGCCTTTGAATGGAAAAACCCCTGTGCACAAAGATGCAATTCACAGCAATTAACCAAACAGTCAAAGAACAGCAAAATACTTATGGAAAATAGAATACAGACACACTGTAATATTGACTAGCCACTTAAAATTATGCTTACAGGGCTAAGGATGTAGCTCAGTGCTAAAGCACTTACCTATATGTGCAAGGCCTTAGGTTCAATCCCCAGCACTGGGAAAAAAATCAAATTATATTTATGAAGAAGTCATAACACTGTAAAATAATGATAATCACAGTAAATGAGCAAAAAGAAAACCTAGCATTTAGTATGGTCTAACCTACATAAAAATTCATGAAAAAAAATTAACATGTTAGGAGTAGTTTTCCATAAGTTGCAGCATTATAAATTTAGTTTGTGTATGTTTGTGTTTGTTGTTTTGCAGTGCTGTGAACCAAAATTTTAACTTGAATTATGTGATCAAGCCTCCAGAATGATTTTTTTTTCCTTTGAAGAGCTGAGGATCAACTCCAGGGCCCCTGAATCCTAGGCAAGAGAACTACTATTGAGCTACATTCCCAGTCCCATAAATTTTGTTTTTAATCCTCCTTGTTTTTAATTTTTAAATTTCTACATTTCTACTTTAAATTTCTAAAATTTGCAAGAAGTGTTTTAGAATTGTAAAAAAAAAATAAAGTTGTAATGAAGAAGAAACAATAAACATTTTTAAACTAATTCCACTGAAGTCCATTGGTCAGAGAAGCCTGCAAGCTAAGAAGAGGATGGCACTTCCCTTCCCATCGGATAAGTAAGATACCTGTAGAAGATGAATGATACAAATAAAGTCAGATCCAAAAGCCTACAGGGACAAACACAGCAGGACAGCAAATAAACTGCAGAGTTAGCAAATATGAATTTTTAAAAGAAAAAAAAAGAAAGTCTTTTCCTATTACTGAGGCTATTTTCAGGTTCCAAGGTAAAATTCCTATATGTATTATTAAAAGRCATAATTTGGGTATTTTGTGAACTGGAAATGGTCCTGGAAGTTGCCAAAACTGAATGTACATGGCCTTGTTAGGTACTTTTGAGCTGTCTTGTTAACACCCAGTCAAGTCCAACAAGGGCAACTTACAACATGGATGAAAAAAAAAAAACTTCCATAAGCTTTATACTAAACCATTGTGCAAGCAAGATTCTGTCACCATTTTTACAATTTTCGGAAATGAATCAATTTTTATACCTTTTATTGACTTCTGGTTGTTGTTCATATTAGTGTTATAACATTTTTCTCTAGTAATTTCAGCTAACTTATTAACTATGTAACATTTTCCTAAATTTCCATATTTGATTCTAGAAATATACATTTCAAATGTTGAACGGTAATTATACTTTTTATCAGTACAGATTAGAAATCCCAATCACCTCATAATTTTAGATATATTGTTATAAGACAAAAACAACTATGAACCAGTGACTCACTCAATTAGTTAGCGGCACTGCTAAAACAATGTAATCCTGCCATTTGGCCTTAGGCGCTTGATGGTTTTGTACACTGTATCATCCTTATTTGGTAATTTCACATAGAGCATGGTTATCAAGTTAGAACTTTGAAAGGATATGTTCAGAAACACACTTTCATTAAGAAAACATCTAATAAGTGCCTACTTTGTCCTAGTATTAAAACTGCTAGTTAAATCTTCCATAAATAAAAATAACGAACTGGCAAACCCTCAAAAAAACAAAAAGAAAAATCTTTCACCTTCCCCACTTAGATTCAAAACTATGAAAGAGCCAAGTCTTTCTATTTACCGTGGTCTTAGCTCTAGGAAAATCAGAACATAGGAAACATGTTTGAGAACTGCATAAAGAAGCAGTCCCAGCACTTGCGTCCAGGTTATTTCCTACAACCCAAGAAGGCGGGTCAAAATGAAATGTGAAAAACAGGTGTTGAAAGGCAGTGGCCTGGGAAAGCTCGACCTAGAGTTCAGGATGATAGGTTTTTATTTACTCGCGCCGTAACTYAGCAATAGTTTTCCTCCGCTACGCGCTAAGACACAGCGTCACTGACTGTCCTTTCCCGCCGCCGCCCCTTCCAGCGCTCCACGTCCCACACCCTCCACAAAACTGCGCGCCGCTCCTCACAGTCCCAGACTCTGCTTCGCGGGAGCACCTTGAGCTCCCGCCCAGGAAATTACACGCAGCCGGCGTCATTACGCAACTTCCAGCGGGGCTTACTTCCGAGACAGACGCGGAAGTGTTAGAAAGCGCCGGCTGCCGGTTCCGCTGCAAAGTTTCTGACCCTGTAGTCCTCCTTGAGGACATCCTGTAGAGCTAGTATCGTGCAGGCCCGATTTCGCCAGACTAGAGCAGACAAAGCCCGCGCTCTTCCCCGCCAGTAGGCCTCGGAGCTGATGTCGGCCTCATCCTGGAGTCCCCGTAGTGGGGCCAGACCATGAGCCTCTGGTCTGCCTGGCCTCGTCGCCTCTGGCCCCGCTGCACTCCAGCAAGGCCAGGATGAAAAAGCTCCCGAAGAAGAGCCAGAACGAGAAGTACCGGCTGAAGTACCTGCGGCTGCGAAAAGCGGCCAAGGCCACGGTGTTTGTGAGTCTGACGGTCATTCAGCCCGCCTCCGCCTCGAAACTTTGCTTCCTCGTGAAATCTTTCCCCAGGCTGATTCCCCTCCCAGAGTGACAATGTTAGCTTTTCAGTATACGTTACTACTTGGATAAAATACATAATTTTCCTCATCCTGTTTTCTCGTCTGTAAATGAAAGCTAGTAACTAGTTACCCTACTGGAGATTAAATGAAAATTTTGCTTGATACTCAGAAGGTCTGCCAATAAATTTTATTTAATCATTATCGTTATTACTGCAGAACTCTCAGAAATGCCTGAGAATTAGGCACTGTTGAACCCTGAAGCTCAGGGACGATTTGCCCAAGGGCACTGTGTCAGAGCTTCACTCCAACTTAAATCAATTCCGCTTTATAAATTCCACTACACAGCATATTTCCCAAGTATCCCACTGTCCCATAACTGATCCCTTAACCAAACAGGCACATAAACCTTTCAATAATTTCTGTCTTGTAACCCACTTTGAGTCTCCTAGGTGTTTCTTAACTCCCACTCATACATTATGCCTTCTGCTCCTGCCTTTTTTTATCGTCGGGGCATCAAGGTCATTAAATGAATAAACTGGTTTGTCTGATATAACTTTATGTTACAACATTCTGATTTGCCTTTATGCCTGGAAATAGGGGTGGAGTCCTCGAATGTTCCCTCATATCTGAATCAATAGTTTATCCCTTCATTCTACCAAAAGCTTAAACAACTCGGCATTCTTAGAAGCATAAGAGTTTGTAAATTAGAATACTCCTTCCAAAAATATTCATTCAGCATTTTCTCTGTGCATTGGATAAAAATAAGAAAATTAAAGTTAAGAGAACTTGACATCTGATTGTTTCTTTTATCCCCCATATGCCAAAGTCATGAAGGAGGTTGTGTGAAGAAAAAGGATACTGCTTTGAACTTTCAAACTTAGAGGTTCCATCTGTGGGACATCTGGAATGGAACATTTCCTTCACAATTGGTGCTTAAGAGATTGAGTCATTGGAAAGATGGCACTGGAATATATACAAATAAATTATAAAGTTTAGGAATTTTAAACACTAGATTTGACTTCATTCCAGTTTGTCACTTTAGGGTATAATTATGGGATGCTTTGAGTTAGATTTTCTTTGTCTCTCAAAAACCAAAGCTCCCAGACATAATTATGTAATAGTATGAATTTAATTAGTATGCCATTTTCTCTGCTAATGGTTATTCTAATTAAAGTGGCCATCTATCTTGGTTTACCAGGGACAGTCCTACTTTACCATATTGTTCTTGTATTATTAATAGTGGCCCCTTTTCATTCAAAGGTGTCTCTGTGTGGGTAATATATAATTACCCTACCTATAATAGAACCTGACTTTCCCTAGAGATTTATTGATAGCTTGTCTGTAAAACATAGAAWAGCTCTTCTTATCCAGCAACAACAGTCCTTGGTTTGAAATATGGATACTGTTCCCAGAACAATGATTTAACCTTTTATTTATTTTATTTTATTGTGTTTAAATTTTTTTCTTAAAGGAAAATGCTGCTATTTGTGATGAAATTGCTCGTCTTGAGGAAAAATTTCTTAAAGCAAAAGAAGAAAGAAGGTGAGCCAACTTCATTTTGTGTTCAGAATCACATTTTTTGTGATTAACATAGTGTAATTGCTCTTGGGAATTTTCTCCCGTTGGATTTTTATGTACTGCACAACCCCTTGACTGCTTGATCAAGTATAGAGAAAAAAAATCTGTGGAACTGGTTCCCAAACCTTGAAGTCATGTTGGACCATGATGATGAGACAACTCCTCTACTCATCTTTCTGAGTCTTCTTGCCATCTAATAAGTAATCTTATTATACCTCCCAAATAGCCAAGGGATAATATTCTACAAATATTTGTTCAATCTTTACTTCTCTATACAAAGCACAATGAATATATATACATCCAACTGATGGTATATGCCCTTCAGTCACCTGACACTTTCCAACTTTAAGGTAGAGGAGTCCTCCAGGTACAAGAGAGAAAAGCTACAATCCTTATCCTTGTTTCTTGAAGTATTGATTATCTTCTGGGACTTTGTTATTTTGAGAGTTCAATATGAATCTTACTTTTATGAGTGTGATAATCTTTGCATATAATTCTGGCTTTTTCTGGTGTTTGAGTGAAGTATTGAATTGAGACAAAGTGGAAGTTCATACCTCTGCTCCCTTTCCTTCCCAACCTCAGGTACTTGCTAAAGAAGCTCCTTCAACTTCAGGCTCTAACTGAAGGAGAAATACAGGCTGCAGCTCCTTCCCACGGCTCCAGTTTGCCCCTGACTTATGGTGTGGCCAGTTCTGTGGGAACTATACAGGGAGCTGGACCCATTTCTGGGCCCAGCACTGGGGCAGAGGAACCATTTGGGAAGAAATCCAAGAAGGAGAAAAAAGAAAAAGGCAAAGAGAACAGCAAACTGGAAGGTACATTGTGTTATCAGTTGCTCCCGTGGCTTAGCTACTGATGACAGACCTGTTACTGACTGGTAGACATATGGCCACATAAACACTTTTTAAAGTCTCTTGAGAAGTAAGTACCTTATTAGAGACACCTTGGATGAATAGATTCTTGTTAGACCTGGTTAAATGTCTAAGGGAGCAGACTGAGACCCCCTCTTTCCCTCTTCCTCCAACTCTCAGGGTTACATTTGCTTCAGTCTTTCCGAGAGGCAGGGAATGGGCTCGGTGGCCTTTTGAGCACACTACTAGCTTGGGAAATTTCTGATTTTACAAATGAAGAAGACTTAAAAATGTAATGCTTTAGCTCCTAAGCACTAATATTAAAATTGGTTACCATCTAGGGGCACATTAGAAAGATATTCAAGGCTTTGGGAAAGGGGAAAAATAGTGAATTCAGTGAATATAGATGGTCCCAGACTTACAGTGGTTCAGCTTAATGATTTTTCAATTTTACAGGATGTGAAGGCAATATCCATTTAGTAGAAACTGTATTTGAATTTTGATCTTTTCTGAGAATAGCAGTATGTATAGTATGATGCTCTAGTTCCATGCTAGGCAGTGGCAGCAAGCCACAGCTCCAGTCAGCTACACAGTCATAAAAGGAAACAACTGATATACCACACTGTGCTGTATTGCTAAGCCATGATATTTGGTAAGTTAGGTTAATTTTATGCATTTTCAGTTTATCCTTTGTTCAACTTACGATGGGTTTATCAGTACATAACCCCATCCTGAGTCAAGGAGCATCTTATATAATACCAAGGCTGACTTATTACCCTTAGCGTTCCATGTATAAATTTTTCCCTTTCCCTCAGCTTTTGGGAGGGGCCTAAAGTGGGTGACCCCAGATTTGCGTTTCAGTTCTGAAGAAAACAATCAAGAAAAAGAAAATGGAGGGAGGTGCTCGCAAGCTGGTTCAGCCCATTGCCCTGGATCCCTCAGGACGGCCTGTGTTCCCCATCGGACTAGGGGGTCTAACAGTATATAGCCTGGGGGAGGTGAGTGAGACCAGCAACATATAGAGAGGAGAATCAGAAAAATCTGGGAATGGGGTTGAGCCTTCCCTCCCGGTTCCCATTAGCAGCCCCTTGCTGATCCATACCAACCCCAGAAAATCTCCAGTCCCTATGAAACCAGGTCAGATTTGTCTGCTACACAGCCAACACTTTTTCTATTCTCTATGTGATTTCAGTCATTCTTTACAACCCAAAGTGGTTCTAAAGACTACCTCCATAAACACAACTTCTAAATCCTCAGTGACCTCAATCCCAGGTTGGGGAAATCTTTTTTATAGATCATCACCGACCGACCTGGCTTCCATGATGAGAATGCCATCTACCCTGTGGGCTATTGCAGTACTCGGGTGTATGCCAGCATGAAGTGCCCAGACCAGAAGTGTCTGTATACCTGTCAGATCAAGGATGGTGGTGTGCAGCCTCAGGTACTCAATCAAATATAACCTCTATTTTTCTTTTCTTTTTTTAAGAACTTTCTGTGTTCCAGGCACTTAATAAGTATCCTAATTCTGACACTTTTAAAGTGGATGCTATATAATTACCATTTGGATAGCCCCAAGATACCAGAGAAGTAACTGGCCCTAAGTCATATCTCTACTAATAAGTGGTTAAACTGGAATATGAATCTGTATCTGTCTGATTCTCGATTAATGCTTTTCCATTGAACCACACTACTTTGTCACCACGTGAGGTTTGATCAAGCCTGCTTATATTAAGTACAGGCTCAGATACAGGGAAGATTAATTTGATACACCACCATTTCAGATTGAACCAAAGTGGACATAGCATATGGCTGCATATACTCTTAAGGACCTGGGACTCCTGACCCCTCATGCCATTCTTCATCCTTCTTAGTGCTAAAATGTAATGCAGCTCACTTTCCCCATCTGTTACCTCTTCTTATTTGGGAAGAATAGACCATTTTCAGAGTTCCAGGCTTCACTGTCAGATGAGGTTATACATCACTAGAAAATTGTATGGAAGGAGGTTAGAGTCAACCTACCTCTAATATGAGCAAAAGGTGCTAGAATCCTGAGCCTGCCTGATTCACGTATCACTCCTGTCATCTGACACTGGTAGGTGAAGTAGAAGAGTTCAAGTACCTTGGTCATGCAGCAATTCTCTTCAGAAAGTAGCACAGAGATCCACTGTTGTAACAGTGTATCCTATTTATAACAAATCTGTAAGTGCAATGCAAATCTTAATCAAAATTCTAATTGAATTTTTAGTAAAAAAAAAAAAAAGTCTTCCACCAAAAGATAAAATGCTAAAGCATTTTCTAAAAATAAAATGTGTGATTTTTTAGTTTTTAAGATCACTAACCTCAATTGGACATTATTTTTAGATTATTGTGAACTAAATCTAGCTTTAATTTTTTCTGCCCAACTAACATTGTCTTCAGGCCAGGTGTGGTGGCACCAATCTGCWATCCCAGCAGCTCAGGGTGAGGCAGGAGGATTGCGGGGGGGGAAAAAATTGAGGCACTAAGTAACTCAGTGAGACCCTGTCTCTAAATAAAATACAAAATAGGGCTGGGAATGTGTCTCAATGGTCGAGTCCCCCTGAGTTCAATACCCCCTACCTCCCCCCCAAAAAAAAAGTTACTTCAGTATACAAATTAAATACATAAAATACTTGGTTGTTTGCAGATAATGTTATTTCATTGATCTGTTTGTCAATACATGCCAGTATGACTAGAGGTGTATGTGTCTTTGTGTTTGGCATTGAAGATTGAACCCAGGGGTAACTTGACATCTGATCTAAATTCCTAAATTCCTAACCCTTTCTATTTGAGACAGGAGCTTGCTAAGTTGCTGAGGCAGGCCTGAAATTTGTGGTCCTCCTGCCTCAGCCTCCAAATAGCTGTGATTACAGACATACACCACCATGGCTAGCCCCAATAAGATTTTCAGTTACTTGAGTATGTTTTATGCTGTAAATATGTTAAAGGAAAGTGTAAAAGAACATTTTTAGTCTTAAAGTAAGGTCAAAATGTTCCTTTAGCAAGATATGGAAACACAGAAGCTATAAAGGAAAATAATAACAGAGTCAACTTTTAAAAATTTAAATGCTTTGGCATGCACAAGGCCCTGGGTTTGATCGTCAGTACCACAAAAAAAAAAAAAAAAATTAAGTGCTTTGGAAAAAAAGATACCACAGAGTTAAGCAACAAACAGGAAGAACATGTACACCATGGGATTGATGTCCAGATACAGTACTCCTATAGAGTAATATAAAAATAAACAGTCAAGTAAGGAGGAAGTCACACCTTATTTTTGCCTTTAGGTACATATCAGACTTTAGTAATATCCAGTCTTGGCCAGGGTATAGGAAAATAAATATGTATACATTAGTCAGAATGAAAACTGGTAATCTTTTTGGAGGGTAACTTGGCAATATCAACAATTTTAATGCATATGTCCTTTGACCCAGAATACTTCTAGGTAATCTCATGTTTCCTAGAGAAATGTGCAAATGAGAATAAAGAATAACATGTAGCAGTGTACATGGAGACTGATCCTAAGTGTTTTTAAAATATCATTTTTATTTGTACTTAAGGATATAAGTAGCTGGATAGGAAAGGGCCCAAAAAGGTATGGAATTAATTAAATTTTGACTGCTGGAAAGCTGTCAACCAAGAAGTGTGGAATTGAAACAGAAGACTTCTGTATACTTGATTTTTTTTTTTTTTTTTTTTTTGTGTGTGTGTGTGTGTGTGTGTGTGGTGGAGCTAGGGATTGAACCCAGGGCCTTGTGCATGCAAGGTAAGCACTCTACCGACTGAGCTATATCCCCATCCCCTTGTTTGAATTTTTAACAGCACTATAGGGAATTGTGTGTAACCTATATTCTAGTATGGATACAGCAGCTTCAAGTGAAGAAATGTTTGTAGGAGGTATGACTCTACTTCCTCCTTACAGATTAATTGTTCCTTTGTCATTCTCAGTTTGAAATCGTTCCTGAAGATGACCCCCAGAATGCTATTGTTGGCTCTTCTGCAGATGCTTGTCATGCAGAACTGCTCAGGACCATAAGTGCTACTAAGTAAGTTGACCAACAGCTTTAAAAGATCCCTATAGAGCTTTTCTTTCAGTGTGTAGAGATCCCTTTTTAATATACAAAACTAACCTGCATCCTTCAGACATCCTAATAGCTAGAGTTTCCCGAGTATCTTTTATCATCCTGTGTATTCATACCACTTTTCCATTCTCAAACCTATCTCCATCTCTTCTAAGCTCTGAAGCTAAATTTCTCCCTCTCCTGTTTAGGGGGGAATTAATGCCTAACCTGCTTCCATCTGGAGCTGAATTTTTTGGATTTTCTCATCCAACTATTCACAACCTGATTCAGAGTTGTCCAGGAGCTCGAAAATGTGTCAAGTAAGTGTGGTCAAACTCATTCTATTGAGAGAACCTCAGTAATCAGCTGACCAAGGACCTAGAGCAGCAGTTACATTGATCTACTATGTCCAAGGCATACTTGCTTCTCAACAAGAGTGCTTCATTACTGACCCTTTTAGCCTCTAGGTAGCAGAGCAGAACCAGAAACCCCTGGACTTAATTATTACAGGTTCAATATCCTTTATCCAAAGTGCTTGGAACCAGAGGTGTTTTCGAGTATCTGCATATACACAATAAGATATTTGGGGGATGGAACACAAGCCTAATCATAGAAGTCATTTATGTTTCACATGTACCTTACACAGATAGTCTGAATGCAGTTTTATACAGTATGTTTTGTGCACCTGTGTGACCTATCACATAATAGGAGTGGAATTTTTCACTCTTGTCTTATCTGGGTACTCAGAAAGTTTCAAATTTTGGAGCATTTTGTATTTCATATTTTGGGATTTGGGATGCTTAACTTGCATCATTTTTTGTGTACTATAACAGCAAAAAGGATGAGAAGACTAGCAGAATAATGTATCACTAAAGAAGCCTGCCTATTTTACTTTTTTCCCCCTTTGGCTAATATATTTTTAGATATACATAGGAGAGGCCTTGGAGGTAGGAATGGATTATTAGAAGCAGACAACTTTGATTTCCCTTTGATCCTACAGTTACCAGTGGGTGAAATTTGATGTGTGCAAACCTGGAGAGGGGCAGCTACCCCAGGGACTGCCAGAGAATGATGTAGCTGTGAGTTTTGAAGCCTTTCAGAGACAGACCTTTGATGAAGAGCATAATGATCCCATTTTACCAGGTATTTTTTTTTCTTTTTTTTAGTTTCAGGTGGGATAAAATAGCTTTTTATTTATTTATATGTGGTGCTAAGGATCAAACCTAGTGCCTCACATGTGCTAGGTAAGCACTCTACCACTGAGCCATAATACCAGCACCTACCAGGTATCTTTTAACTTCTCCTTTCTGGTTTGAACATACTATCCCCTCTGCACCCATTATTGAGTATTCCATATATCTAGGCAGTAAGTGATGTAAGCTTTCACTGATCTAACCATGAAAGGTACTGAGTCAGAGGGGAACATGAGGCCTGCTTGGATTCCCAAATTACTCACAGAAGTCACAGGAAGCACCTGTGGTCATTGCAAAAGGCAGGACATTCTGAGTGACCCTTTGTGGACCACTACAGTGTCTCATTCTATAACCTAAGTAAGACCTAAGTGGAACACCAGGGGAAGGCTTCTGTATAGGGAGTAAAATTTCAAATGAAGTTAAACAATTCACCTCATGGCCTTGGTCCTACTGATGTTACTTGGATTGCTTCCCACAAATGGGAAGATCAATCAGGTATTCAGGCATTCAGATCATAATAGAGTTATATGTATGTAGGCAAACGATTTCATCTATTTCAGTTTTCTTTATGATAAAAGTAAACATCTGTCCTATTTTACAACCAAGGGAAAAATTGGACTGATAGCTGCAAAGGTGTTAAGAAATTAAAAGGCCATTTATGTGCCTAAACACTCTCCCCTAAGATTTCCAAGCAGTAGTAGAATTTAAGAAATTGCTTTCTCCAGGATCCTTGGAGCTCCCTGAGCTTCAACCTGCAGCCTTTGTGTCATCCTACCAGCCGGGGTTCCTGACACAGGGACCCTTGGTGGATACTCACCTGCAGCACCTGAAGTCTCCATCACAGTGCAATCCAGTTCAATCTTCAGATTAAACAAAGAGGGATCGGAGTCCACATCATTTTCATCAGGATGGATTTTTAATTTAAACTAAAATTTAGAATATATGGAAGAAGGCAGCAGTTCAGGAGTAAAGAAGACATTATCTTGTCATAGAAGTTTCTATGGTGACAGGTTACCCTGGAAAAACTGTTGATTTATTTTTAGTAATAAATTTCTCTTGACAATTTTGCTCATATTTCTCTTCTTGTAATCAGGACATAATCTTTTTTGTTTAGCTCTTCCTGATATAAACTTCAGTTCCTTAAAAATCAGAGTGAAAGACTGTTCAGCTGCTATTACAAAATGCCATTGGCTGGGTAGTTTATAATCAGAAATTTATTTCTCTTAGTTGTGGAGGCTGGAAAGTCTTTAAGTTCAAGGTGCTGGCAGAGTCAGTGGTGAGGGCTAGCTCCCTGGTTCATAGACAGCCGTCTTGCTATAGCCTCACATCATGGAAGGGGCAAGGCAACTATCTCGGGACCCTTTTATAAGGACACTATACAGAATCCTCGTGACGTAATCCTCTCCTGAACACCCTAATTCCTAATATTATCTCATTGGAGAGATTAGGATTTAATTTATGATTTAATACAGATTTTGAGTCTTTAGCAGCTACTAATTTGTGAAGGAGATAAGATTCTAGCAACCTTCCACTCTTGATTTTGATCCCAGTTGAGGACTCCCAAATCCCCTAGCCCCTACAACCCAGGCTCCTGTTTTCTGCTCATGGCAGTATTGACAAACAGATCCTCTGCTTGTACTCAAGTTGCAAAGTCCAGTCCAGGATACATCCATATTTTGAACATCTTTTAAGCACTGAGCTGCGTTCCCAGCCCCTACGTTCCCTGTTTGTTTGATGAGACAGGGTTTCACTAAGTTACTGAGGCTAGGAGAATGTGCTTTAAACTCAGTTGAAACCACATGATTACACACATTCAGATATAATCAGGGATTAGTTCCATCCTCATTTCACATAACCCATCATTTTGTTTTAGCCATCTAATTATATAACTCTGCATTCTATACAACTGAATTCTTTGGACATTGCTTATGTAGCCTTACTTGGAGGCCTAACTATCTCTAATGGCTACAACTCCACACTATCTATGGAATTCCTTAGCTCCCCATCCATCAGGTGCCCAGGGATGTCTGGAAATGAAAGGATCAGAAGTAGAATGGGGAAGCAGTGGTGAGAATGAATTGTTCACATGCTGTACTGCCTGACTACCAACTGAAGACACATGAATGGGATTGGCATTTTGTAGTAATAAATGTGACCAGCAGGGGGAGGGATCAGAAGGAGCAGTGTTGAGAGCACAGCAAACTGGCCACTACAAATGAACAGCAACTGTGTGACTGAAGTTCTATAACTTTTAAAATGCAAAATAAACAGTGTAAAACTTGAATAGTAGCAAATCCAGTTGGGAGGGGATCAAAGCTGTTGAGATGTTTTAGTGTTTTATCTTGTTTCTCTGCATAAATTGCCGGAGCATATTTGCACTTACACCAAAATAATAGATGCTGCTTTTATCAAATAGCAAATGTTTTTCTATGGTATTTCAGCCTGAGTAAAACTCATCCTAAAAGAGAATCTCATCTTAGACATTTAAATTATTTTAATAAATTAGTACAAGTTTACCAGAACTGTTTTTCAAATTACAATCAACCCATTAGTTTTTCATAAATTTAAAGAGTCAACACCTACTTTTTTTAAAATAAAATAGAACATATTGAAACACATCACATGGAAAAATATTGTAATTTTGATTTCAATTATAATTGTATATATGTATTTATATAAATATTTACAAATATGTATGGGGATATGTGAAATAATATTAAATGTTTTTGCTATGTACCAAGGTTTTTAAAAAACTTAGAAAACACTGCCAAAATGTATTTAAAGTATCTTTTCATCTATGAAATTGTTAAAATATTTTTAATTTGACAATATCCAATGTCAATAAGGGGTGGGAAAAAATACCTTGGTGGGAATGTAAATTGTTTCATCCTTTGGGAGCGTTAAGCTTATAGGTATCACAATTTTAAACATACATTTTAACCTGTTACTCATGTTAAGAACCCTAAGAAATAACTGAACGAGTGAGGTATGATGTTTGTATGTAACATTCTTCATAATATTAGTTTAACAATGCAGATTTCTAAAATATCCATATGCCTATTTTAGGAAATTGGTTAAATAAAGTATAGGGATCCACAGCTGTAATACTGTAAATTTTTATTTGCATCAGAAAATTTTGGTAGAATAAATTAAAAACAGATTACAAAAGAATATACTACATAGTGTACAATATTTAAGCCAAACAAATCAAGTGCATGTTTACCAAAATTGTGTTTCCCTCTTGATGATCTGGGGATGATTTTTCTGTGTGCTTTTCTTCAGTAGTCCAAATCTTCTACAGTGATTACTTCATTTTCAAACAGTAAAAAGTTCTTTTCATTGGGGGAAATATACTGAATTCCTACAGAATGTTTTAAATTATTCAACCACTAAAATTCATTTACATGTGGCTTCATTAATATAAATTACCTAAACCAAATTTTTTACCCTGTGTATACCAGGTGACTGGGTGTTAAGGAACTTTGGCTTAGAGTTCCTGCCTGTGTTATGAGGAGCCACTTCAGAAACCACTCTAAATCTGAATTTCAAATCAAATAGAGCTTTATTTACCTGGCCAGGGACTATCACCCACCGTAGAGACTCAAGCTCTGTGGGAGGACAGCAGCTTCCTGGCCCAACCAAGGAGAATATAAGCACAAAAACCACAACTCAGGGACTTGCTTATTGTCATGTAAGCTAGCCAATCACAGAAATTAAAACATTAATAAGTGGGATTTGTGGGCTCTAGGCAGGATTGGACTTTTCCAGTCAGCAAGCAAGCGATAAACAGAAGCTAAAAAAGCATTAGCTTTAGAGTTCACTTGACCACAGTCCCAGGTTCAAGCAGGTGCTAGACAGTCATACACTGAACTTGAGTGGGGGTTGGCAGGGCAAGAATCAAAGTCATGTAGACCCACAAGGGCATTCAAATCCAGGATGTAGCTCACTACTGCTGCTTCCTGAGCAGGGTATAATTTTTGGGGTACAAAGTGCGGCAATTTTTTATAAGAAAAGAGCTTTTAGTTTCTATTTCCTAGAAATGGGTCATGCAGTTCTCTCTTCACAGGGACAGTTACAAAAAAACTAAGATGGAGTTTCTGTAGTCACATCTTTTTACTCAAATGACTACAATGACCCTATTCCCGTAATCCCAGAAAGGTGGGAATTGTTGCAAATGACTAATGAGTCTCTACCAGAGCAATTGCTTTACACACTCAGTACTAGTAACTTATTTGATGCCTACTTACAACTACGGTTATCTTATGGCCTACATACACATTTTCATCTGTCATTTTACTAATATCTATAAACTCTGGCTACAAGATTAGATTAACATAGCAACTTGATCTAACATTATCTATATTAACCTACTTGCTTATATTTATTTACAACTATACTGACACACTGACTTATCCTATGACTTAAATCCTATGTTTTACAGTAACATGATTTTTCTACTATTACTTAGGTTTATTCCTGATGAACTTATGTCTTACTATCGCTTATCTGTTATCTTTCCTTATTCCTATAGTCTTTAATCTATGTCTGTTGCTTACTGATTATCTATTCTATCTTGCTTTATACCTATAACCTATATCTATGACTTATTGATTATCTTGATCAGTTCACAGCTGCAGGCTACTTTCAAATTAGAATAGCCGTGAGGCCGTGAGTATCAGTGCACTGTGTTGGGGGTTTTTAGCCCTCCCCCCCCCCCTTTCCCTCCTTCCCTCCTGACCTGCAGGAGAGATTGGGGGAGCATGCCCAAACGCGGAGGACAATCAGACGTGCCAGGGAGAACAGTCAAAGCAGGATCTCGTTTATTGAGAAAACACACACAGCTAATATAATGTACAATCAGGGTAATCAATGCCAATCAGGGTAAAGGTCAGCAGGGTGGGGAGAGTTCACGTGTACACCCATCCTACAGGCAGTAATGGGAGACCTGAGCTGTCCGTGAGGGCAAAAGGGTTCTGAGCCTATCCTAGAGGTGGTCCAATTTTTCATCACAACCCATGGCAATGCCTTCTGGCTAATCACCAGGCGCTCCTAGCCCCATGTGGCCCCAGGACTGGGAAGCCTGTAGCAGCCAGCAAGTTAAGTTTCCTCTGTTCTGATGCAACATGCCCCATGTTACATCATGCCCTACACACTGGGCTGGGTGAGTAGTAGATAGTAACCTGACTTTTTCTTTTGAGCCTCTCTGTTACTAGGATTGTGGTTCCCATGGGGCCAGATGCATAAGAGGTCAAAGTATAAGCATTAAGAGTTAATTTACACTAGGAAATCCTCAAGAGGAGTCAAACTTCCTAGCAGAGTGCAAATTTTTTTTTTTTTTTTTTTTTTTTTTTTTAGATCTTTTACCAAATAAAATCTTGACGTTGATAAAACTATTCCTACTCTTTGGGATAGCACTAGAATCCCTTGAAAGGCTGATGTGGAGAAAATAGTGCTTATTGCATTAGTAGTATTCATTTTTCACATTAAATGGTAATTCTTTTAAGTCCATTCTTAACACAATTTTGACTGATTATAAAAAGATATACATCACTAATCACAATACTTTTATTCCCAACTTGTAATCAGTATAGTTTTCAAGAGCCATATATCTGTTTTTAACCAACCAGTAAGCTGCATTATGATTCTTTTTATTTATTTTTAGGTGGTGCTGAGGATGGAACCCAGGGCCCTGCCCATGCTAGGCAAACGCTCTACCTCTGAGCCACAACCCCAACCCCATGATTCTTAATAGTACATACACACAAAAGCCCTCTTATATATTTGTCTCATCCACATTATTTTTCTGTAGGATTATCATGTAGCTTTCTTTCAAGCTAACTTTTTTCTTCCAGGTGGATTATCCTTAGTTAAACTCTTACCTTTAAAAAGCCTGAGACTCAGTTTTAATTCTTATGACCTATTTGCCTCAGTTAGCTCTACTTCTATTTGTCTTAGTCCTGATTCCTCTATCCCTGCTGTAACTGTCACCATGTGCCTGCACTGAGCTCCTACCACAGCTGTTTCTCTCCATTCTTTAAGGCATACCCTTGGCACTTTCCAATATGACTGCCCAAGTGTCTGGTTGGTTTGTTTTTTTCTATCACATAAGGAAAAACTTTTGGAAAACAAAATTTCTCACAGAAAGAGTCAATAATCACTTGTCGGAGGTTTTTTTTTTTTTTTTTTTTTTTTTTAAAGAGAGACAGAGAACTTTTTAATATTTATTCTTTAGTTTTTGGCGGACACAACATCTTTGTTTGTATGTGGTGCTGAGGATCGAACCTGGGCCGCACGCATGCCAGGTGAACGCGCTACCGCTTGAGCCACATCCCCAGCCCCTTGTCGGAGATTTTGTAAAGAACACACGAAACCTAGCCTAAATGGCCTTTAAGATTTTCTTCCAACCCTGAGATTAGACAGTTTGGGAGGAAAAGTATCAAAACATTTCACTCCCAAAAAAATTAAGAAAGTGAATGACACTGAGGTTCAATTTGGTTGTAGTTCAGAATTAGCCCAAGACAGAGGCTCAGACTAACCAGGAGACAAACACAAGCATTTGAAGTTGCCCACCAGCCATGGCACTTCTAAGAATATAAAAATAGCCACATGATAGCTGAGAATTGTTCAACAAGGCTTTCTATCAATGTCCTCATTTAAAAGTAACAGTTGTCATCATTTAAACTTCCAAACGCCAAATTCTAAAAGTCACTCTTGCATCTAATTGTCATTTGGCAATCTTGTTCTAATGTCCAGGGACCTGGTCTAAGATGAAGGCAATGAAGGGAGGAGCTGGTAGGGTACTGCTGGGGTGATATAGTGGACACTGCTTATATTCACAGGGCCATAAGGTCCAGGCATAGCGAACAGCATCCACAGTGCCATAACAAGAATTGATATCCAAGGTCAGGGTCTGGGTGGAAAAAGTGCTCATAGGAACCGGAAGCCACTTGCATTGATGGTCACTGCAACATGAGATCTAATAAGAGTTAGAAAATAGGAATAGATCAATTAGAGTATTTGAAGAAACTGGGAATTACTCTTTCAGACAGACTTAGTAGGGAGGGAAGGAGCACGGCTTAGCTAAAACCCATTTCCTACAATAACCAGAACCTAGTCCAGGTTGAGTGTGGTTAACAAAACCACAAGTTGATAATGTAGTCCTGGCTTGAAGAGCACCTGCTTGGCATGCATGAGGCCTAAAATAAATAAATGTTCATGTGATTGAATAATTTCAATCAATAAATAAGATATCAACTTAGGAAGGCAAAGAAGCATAATCACATAAAGCATTTATGAAAGACACCCCTAAACATCCTTCTGGTGGTCCCTCTTGCGAGATTTCAAAGCAGCCCAGCTGTTCCCTGGCATTTCCAGAGGAGATGCACACTGACGAAGGGCACAAAGGAACTTTGGACACTGTGCCTTTCTTAAGTCCAAAGGCAATCCAGAAAAGGGAACATAAATTATCCAGGACCCACAGTTAAATTCTTCCCTGACCCTACTGTGTGGTTCCAGAGCCAGATAATAGGCAGACAGCCAACAACTGACAAAGAGGAGAACTCAGAATCTATAGCTTTCTTGAGTCTCTAACTCCAACTAAACTTAGCATAGCAAGAAGCAAAGTGGGACAAGTGCTGACCAGGAATCTGAGACAGATAGATAATATAGTTATCTATATTATATATACTCTGGAGAAGCTGTAGCTCTAGATAAACCCATGTGTGAAGTCTAACAGTGTCTCACCTCCTCTGTTGCCATATTTTCATACAACCTGTCCTAGCCTAATGACCTCAAAATTCCCCAAGACAATCATTTAAACATTCTACCAAGGAATGCCTCTACCCTGTACCCTCAACTACTTAAGACTCCTAATTACCCTCTTTAATCAATAGCCCAATTCCACTGCAGAATGATCCTTGCTAGGTATGAGAAAAAAAAAATAGTCTTGTTACATTAATTCATACTAAGTTACAATTTATCAAGCTTAAGCCTTTCAAGGGAGACACCAGCTTTAAAGAATGTCTGAAATTAGCATAATAAAACAAAAAAGACACCCAAGGGTGAGAGGAATTTACTGGAGCCAGAATCTCTCAATAGGTAACCTAAAAATAAAACCCTACCCTGAGAAAAAAGGGTTGCTCTGTGAGGGGAAAATACAAAAAAATATATCATTTAATAGGGGCCTTGTTTTCCCTTCCTTGATTATACCATCAAAATTGCCTCTAAATTAATGAATTAATAGCTGCTTACTTTTCTCTCAGATAAGGCCAACCCCCACCCATAACTATCCAAGACCTGCCACGTGGTTACATTGTAATGAAACATGCATGTAAAGAGCTCTTGACTCCTGACAAAATGAATCCCACCCCCTTTGTTTTTCCTGCTATTCTCACCTCAAATATTTTGTCATCCTGCCTCTGCACCTGGACTTGCTGGTAATAAGTGAGGTTGAGCAGTCCCTTGTGAGCCAAGAGTTCTATATTCTCAGGCAGTGGTCCTTGAAAGATCAAATTCTTCTCACCGTAAGCCACAGCACGAGCCCCCAAGTGCAACCTATAGGCCACAGTCTCTTTATCTCGAGGGTGGATGCTATAGGATAAAGGAAAGTAGAGACCTTTGGGTTCTTAACAATAACCACATTTTTTTTTCAAAAGAGATTATACAGAGCACCCTTTAAGAAGGTAAGAATGAGTTGCCTAAACTCAGTGCTCACCAGCTAGTCACCTTAAGAGAAATGTTAAATGGAAACTATAGATGAGGCTCTGGGCTTCCTATGGGTTCATGCTGAGAGCCATAGCTAAGTAAGAATGACGCATGGCAATTTCCTTGTCAGCCTACCCCATGTTGCTTAGAGGGAGGACTCTCCATTGTGGAAATGGGCTTGCCTTGGACCCAGGTCATTTGCAGTGACTTTGCATGAAAGGTGACCCTGCTCAAGGACCAGGGTGGATCCGGGTTTAGGGAGGATCCTGCTGGATTAGGGTGGGTCCAGGTTTAGGTGTATCCTGCTGGGAATAGGGAGTATCCTGCTCCTTGGGTTTAGGGCGGTTCCAGGTTTAAGGTGGACCCTGCTGGGAATAATCCTGCTGCCTCAGGTGCCCGCCTGCTCCTTGAGTTCCCGTTGAGTTCTCGGAGATTCAGAGAGTATTTTGGGATGCAGAGCCCAGTGGAAGTGTGGATTTCCCCAGAATGTGCATGTAGAGTGCCGGTGTGAGTTCGGGAATAAAAAATTGCTGTTTGAATCTACAAGATTGTGAGTGGCTCGTGATTTTGTGCCCAGCCAGACTGTGGCAGGTTCAGAATCCTTAAAGCAATAGATGGCTTAGAAGGAAGGAATAAATGGAGAGAGCAAAGGCATTGGAACTAACCAGAACAGCTATTATAAGGCTATTTCCAGTCACTAAAAGTAGTATTTTGGGACTGGGGTTGTGCTCACTGGTAGAGCGCTGGCCTAGCATGTGTAAGGCACTAGGCTCGATTCTCAGCACTACATATAAACAAATAAATAAATAAAGGTCCATCAATAACTAATAAAAATTTTTTTTWAAAAAAAAGTGTTTCATCTGAATCAACTGTTCATTATGTTTGGTCCTCTCTAGCTTTTATTTGTTCTTTCAGTAAATATCAAGTTCCTACAACAATCTAGACTTTATGTGCTGGACTTCATTTTATATTTGAAATATCTCTGCATCCTACAACTGGTGTGTAGTATTCATTGGAACTGTTCATGTTAGAATTCCATGGCCTGCTCTCACTGAAGCTAGTTGTGACCATATTATTTGGTTTGGGTTGGTTTGGCCAGTACACTGTGAGCAGAAGTGACTTATGTTGCTTTTAGATGGAAGCACTTAAATGCCACTGTGAAACTTAAGGTGACTATGGAAGCACAGATCAATTTGGAACCTCTGTTTCTCTGGGTTTGTGAGTAACTACAATGAGCAAAGTCTCTGTTGACCTTCTTTGGACATGAAGTGTGAGCATGAAATAAATTTTTCTTGCATCAAGGTATTGAGATGTTCAGGGGGATTTTGTTATTGCAACACAACCTACCATAAATAAGTTATATATAAGACATGTAAGCTCCAATCCTAGTCCAATCCATCCCCTCACAAGTGAACACCAGAGTGAAGGACTATAGGCAAAGAACTTTCACCAAACAAAACCAAGAAGCACCCATACCTGCCAAAAGGTGAGTCCCTGTCACAAAGGTCCATAGCTACAGCCATGAAAGTGTTGGGCATCTTTAGGTTAGGGACAGAACCAAAATCCGCCGTTTGATGCCAGCGGATCTGAGGAAATCCATCGTCTGAGTTGTCATTAGATAAATATGAAGATAACTGGAAAGTAAAGATTTTGTTAACTTTTATTGCATCTGAATTTTCACTGGAGTTTTTTTCACTGGCACACTCTGCTTTTACTTCATTTGTTTATCCAAAAGCTCATTCAACAGTGTTTACTAGTTTCTGTTGTAGTCCAGAGATGGAAGCAATGATTCCTCTCATCTCACATATCCTTTTCCAATGCAACTTGCCACACCTCTCTCAAGAGTCTTATTTCTCCTCTCATTGAATTTTGGCCAGCCCTGTGATTTGCTCTGACCACAGAATGCTGCAGAATTGATATACACCTGCTGAGTCTTTGCCCTAAAAGACCTAGCTTCTGATTGATTCTCTTGGAACCATCCACTGGCCATGGAAAAATAGTCCAGCTACCCTGTAAGACAGATTATGCAGAAAATATTATGATCTTCATGAAAGACCATGAACATAGAAAGACTCTATTGTTCCTTCAATCTCAGCTAAGCAACTCATTGTGTTAATTCTAGATCCTCCAGTCAAACTCGGCCATATTGAGTGAATCCAGCTGATATCACTGACAAAACATGGAACAAAGAGTAATCCTGGAAATAAAATGGATATTTTAAAGTTTTGTGGTAGTTTATTGCAAAGCAATAGGCAATTGATACATCTGTATATAATATAGGGCTAGGCCTTCTGGAGAAAAAGAAAAGCATGTGCTCTTTAGTGTATGGTACCTTCCATGAAAAACCTTATACCCACTCCATGTTGCCATGTGGCTTTGCAGTTCCTCCCTTAAGAAGAAGAATATATTTCCCCACCCCTTGAATCTGAGCTCAGCTGTGTGGTTTGCTTTGACCAATAGACAGAAGCACCGGTTATGGTGCGATGAATCCTGGTCTCTCCAACAGACCTTGCATGGATCCACTTATCTTTCTACACTTCTACAAGGACATGGCTGAGTTAGCCTACTGCTCTGTGAAGAAGGATGAGAGCTATGCAACAGAGCTGCCCATCTAATCCACTCCAGCCAACTGGAGCAGAGCCACAGGGATCAGAAAGAACTCAGTGGAGCTTAGCCAATATCGCCCACCCCAGCTCCCAAACACACAAGCTATAATAGTAAAGATCATCCCATGCCATGAAGTTCTAAGGTAATTTGCTACAGGACAATAACTAGCTAATATAAAAACTAAAGCTCTGTTGGGAAGACATATTACATAAGAAATAAATGTAAGAAATGTTAATGAACAATAGCATAAAATACTATGGAATAAATAATAACAGTGATGGCCCAGACAGCAAGAGCTATACATTTTGAGTAGACCAAGATTATTATTATAGGAAAACATGGCCTCAGAATATGTAAGAAAAATATGAGAAGTCCCTCCAAGTAGTGCTGCTCATACATCAAATGTTAGAACCTTATAAGGAGATGTTTTGAGAGTGTACAATCTAGCAGTACTGAGATATTGGTGATGGAAAGAGAAAATTGGAAGGATAACCAGGCAAGTGTGTAGAAAGTCCCTACTTTATTCTGTAAGCTATTGGGAACTACTGTAGAGATAAAGAGTTGTACAACATTGTAAATGTACTTTATTCCACTGAATTGAACACTTTGAAATGGTTAAAGTTACATGGATTTCGTTCACCACTGAAATTATTAAGGTAATTAAAGGACCATTTTAAAAGATTAATATAATGATTATAACAGACTGATTAGTCAAGTAGCTACCATAATATTTATTATAGTTTATATCCTGAATATCCCTTAAAGGCCCATGTGCTAAAGACTTGGTCCCTCGCCTATGGCACTATTGGGAAGTGATAGAACCTGTAGGAGGTGGGGATAGTAGGAGGAAGTTACTGGAGGCATGCCCTTGAGGAGATATTGGGACAACAGACCTTCCTCTCTCTTCCTAACCACCATGAGGTGAACAGGCTTCCTCCACTTCGTGCTTCCTACTTGATGTACTGTGCTACTATAGGCCCAAACAAAACCAAGTGGCCATGTACTGAAGTGTCTGAAACAATAAGCTAAAACCAGCCTTTCTTCCATTTAACTTATCTCAGGTATTTTTTACAGTGACAGAAAGCTGACTTACTACAACATTCTAGGCACAAAAGACAAAGGTCTAACCTAAAGGGATTCTAGTAGGAATGGGATTAAAAATGAGACAAACTGACAAAGCCATACAGCCAACTGAATATGAGGCACCAGAGAAAGGATTAAATCCATCACTTGGAATCTTTGACATCTGCTTGGGATCTAAGGCAAGCAGTACCAGAATACCTGTGGAATGACGTTGTTCCAAAAGAAGCCTGTGAAAGATCAACAGTTCATATAACATCAGTCATCTCATTTATTCATTAATTTTCTTAACAAAAGTTTACTGAGCCCCTACTCAGTGTCAAGCATTAATAATGGCCCAGGAGACAGAGTGTTGAACAATACATAAGAATCACTTCCCATGCTTGCATTCTAGTGGGGAGGGAAAACCAATAGACATTATAAGAAAATTGTATATCATATGAAAAAGTGATAAGTGCACTGGAAAAAAATAAGGAAAAGAGGAGAGTACACGAGTTGAACAAAGACAAGGAAGACGTAAGAGAGGACAATATGAGGATATCTGGGTGTGTCAGGCAGAATCCAAAAATGACATGTAATGACCCATCCTTATATAATACCTTGCTTTTAACCAACAGACAACCATGGCAAAAGCACTAGGAATTTACTCCCGTGATTATGTTATGTTACATGGCAAAGATAATGGGATTCTATAAATGTAAGTAAGTTCCCTAATCAGTTGACTTCAAGATCATCAAAAGGGAAAGTATCATGGTAAGCCTAAGTTAGTCAGGGGAGCCCTTTAAAAGAGGGTCTAGAAGTCAAGAGACTCTCTCCTGCTGACCTCCAAGAAGTAAGCTACCATGAGTTGTGTAACTTCAAAGAAATGAATTCTACCATTCTGCTGTTTTTCCCAGGAACCACTGAGATAACCAATGCATGCCTGGCCAGAGCACATATCTAAACTTAAACAAAAACAGCTTACATTGTAACCTACTGTAACTTACTTAGTGATATAATAAACAATAATGTACTAATGGTGCCAGTGATCTAATGTAATCTAGTGTTGTGAATAAAACCAGCCTCTTAGACAAGCAGCCATTTTTGCCTCTGCATCTTGCCTTTGTCTCCTTTTGTTTCTTTACACCAACAGTCATGTGAGCTTGGAAGAGAACCTCAAATCTCAGATGAGATTTAGCCCTAGTTCCAGCCAACGAAAGGCACCAACCTAGCCCTCTCTCTGTCTCTCTCTCACCAACCATACTCTAATGATAAATCAGACCCCAAATTGGGGAACAGTTTAGTTTGGGCTAGTACCCATATTGTCTTTTGACTCCATTTCAAAATCTCTGACCCCATCAGAGGCACTGCATTATAAACAGACTTTTCCACCGTCATTTTGCTCACATAGCCCAGGAAATACCTGCCATCATCATCTGTATAAACTTGGCCCAATGAAGCTTTGAAGAAAAGAAGTTTTTACTTTCCAAGTGGATCCAGAAAGACTGAAAAACCTGGACAAGTTGCAACAGTAGCAGGAAGGAGTCTTGGTTATGACATGGAACTAAGGGGATATTTCAGCTCCTATTAAAATTCTCCTAAGCAAATCCGCCTTTCCATGTCAAATGATAAAGGACACTGGAGCTTCACAGTGGAATCTCATGAAAACTAGAAAAGGGAGAAAAGATCCAGTGAGTCACCCTACTTCTTCCACAAAACACCCAAAGACTGAAAACAGAGCCATGTTCACCAGCTACTGCCATGAGAATCACAGCAGCAAAGCCACCAGAAACAGTCTGCAGTAAGTAGTAGCCTGAAGCTCAATGAAACACAAAAGTCTTTTCCCAAAATGGCAGTTTGCAGAGAATTTCTGCAGCAATTGTTTATTATTTAATTGCTGCATTACTCGGCACTGGCCACCTGGGGGCACCAGCATACTCCACACCCAGATGAATTCTTGTGTTTTTCCTAATCTGAGATAGAGCACTGTTCAGTCTCCCACTATGATTAGTAGAAATATTGTGCCACTAATGAATGCATATGCCAGCCAAAGAATATGAAACTGGCCACATTAAGATTTTACAAATAACACCGCAGTTTGTAGTCTGTTCCTCCAAACCCCCTTTTAAAAAGCATACCCCTAAGGATCCAGGTCCTAGCCTTCTGCTCATCTTTCTCTCATGTTCTGGTAACCTCTCTACCAATAACTCTTCAGTACACATGTAGCCCTGGTCTCTCCATAGAGCCAAAGGTCTGTATCTTTTAACTGTGCTCTCATTATTGCAACCATCATTTCAAACTAAATATTTCTATAAAGCCAATTAATCCCTCCTAACAGAACAACTGCCCCCCCATTCTAATTTCTTCAAATAATAATAAACACTAAAATTATCTGGCCTATGTCAGGTTACATGAATTAAGTTATTTAATACCTAAAATAACAAAGAGGTTCAATATCTTATTCAAAATCACAAAACTTAAGGTATTAGAGCTGGAATTTTAATCCAGGCCATCTAGCTCTAGACCCAGGCTCTGAACCATTATTTTTGTCATATTGGATATTTCCTTTTGAATATGTGTGTGTGTGTGTGTGTGTAGATATGTGTGTGTATATATATATATACACACATATATACATATTTTTAAAGAAATATATATTTTTATATTTCCAGTTTTCCAAGAGTAACCAACATATTTGTGTTAGTGATGATAAAATTAAAGCCTGGAGGTTAAGAACTTGTAAATTAAAAAACATAAAGGGGATCTCAGTGACATATTTCTAGCACCTCACAGTTATTTAATTAGTATTCAATACATACTTTTGGTTTGAATTACTCAAATCATTTTCAAATTACCACATACATAGACTAAGAGAGAAAAAATACAGTAATACAGAACTGGTAGCAGGAGCTGCTGTTTGGAAAATGAGAATCTTGTTTCAAAGTCAAAATGTAAGAAAAAAGAAATAATCACAAAAGCATTTTAAGTGGAAAGAAAGTCTATAAAAAATCTTTACTCAAAAACAAAGGAGGGCAGGCCTCAGTGGCACACACTTGTAATCCTAGCAACTCAGGAGGCTGAAGCAGGAGGACTACAGGTTTAAGGCCAGCCTCAGCAAATTAGTGAGACCCTTTCTCAAAAAATAAAAAGGGACTAGGAATGTAGCTCAGTGGTAGAGTACCTCTAAGTTCAATCCCCATAACCACAACAAAATGGATGGAGATATAATAAATCAGGACAAGGTGGAGGAGATGGGAGAATGGTAAGAAGAAAAGTGTTTGTGGGATTCAGGGAGGCAAATGTCTAAACTATATATGTCCCATTCATATTGTAAATCTATCTCTGCTACTGCACTGTAAGTTAGAGCTTGTTTTCATAACACTTTATGTGTTTAATTTCCTATGTTCCAAAAAAAGCCAGAACTACCACCCTTCTAAAACATCAGATCTTGGGTCATATGAACAGTTAATACAAGTTAATTATGAATTTGGTCAAATATATTTATTCCTTTTCCAAGGCTGAAAGCAAATATTTCTAAACTAGTTACCTCTAATCAAAAATATGGTTTGTCTTGATTTTCTCATTTTGTGTGTTAAGACATTATTAAATGAGTGCCAACCAACTAGATACTAGGAGTATAATAAATGTGATCCAGGAAAATATGGCTATGTGCACAACTTATATGCAAGTAAAAATAAAAAGGAGAAGTAAAGGGTGCTAAGAGAACACATTATATGGGGGAGGAAATCCAACACCAGACTTTGGAGAGTCACAGAAGGTTTACTAACTAATATCTAGGCTAAGGCCTAAAGAATGGTTAAAATTAGCAAGGAAAACATGGGAAAGAAATGCTGTTCCAGGCAAGAAACATGGACAATGTCTACGAGTAGAGAGAGTGGCACATTCTGGAGGGTAGAATACACAATAGCAAGTAAGGGAGGATATAAAGATCCCATGTAAGATGCTAAACGTAAAAATTTATATTCATAAATTTCTACAGAAAAATGGGGATATTTTCAAAACCTTATAAAGGTGTAGCTTTTGACCCAGGAGTTTCATTTCTGGAAATTTATCTTATGGAAATAATTAAGCTATAAGGAATCAGCTACAAAGAAAACAAATATGCCACTACTTATAAAAAGCAAAACACTGAAAACAACCTAAGTAAGAACCTATCTATTAAGAACTTATCAATAAATCAGAATTAATTCTACTGTCATCTGTAAATAAAAAGAACAAATAAAAAGTTTTTACAAAAGGAAAAAAAAAAAGAAGAACTCATCAAACCCAGGTCCAGTGTCCCATGCCTGTAAAATCCCAGCTACTCAGGAGACTTAAGGCAGGAGGATCATAAGTTCAAGACTAACCTGGGCAATTTACTGAGACCCTGTCCCAAAATAAAATAAAAAGGGCTGGGGATGTAGCTTAGTGGTAGAGCACCCCTGGGTTCAATATCACTAAAGTATAAAAAATTTTAAAAAGAACTCAGTAAATACATTACAATACAACCATATATCAGAATATTCTGCAATCGTTATAAATTGTGTGAAAGATTAATATTTGTTGACATTAAAAATGGTCACAGCACATTAAGATAAAAAGCAAGATAGGATATAGTATTGTGGAATGGATCCTCTTTCAAAACTATGAGCAGAAAGTCAAGTCATCATCTTTAGATTATAGAATTCTCACTGGTTTTAGCTTTTCTTTTTTCTTTTTTTGCTTATCTCTTTAATAGTTTTTCAGAGAACCTTTTTTTAATAATAAAAATATATCAGTTGCTTATTGATTTTTTCAAAAAGATTGTCTCATCAACGAACTCATGAATTAAGCCTTAATTCAGTTCTAGTACTGGCACACTATGAAGGGGGAAAAAGGAATACGAATTCCAGGAAGAGAGCTAAATAGCACATCCTACACCAATGCTCATAAACCCTCTTCCTCTCAATACATACCTGGACAAATCCAAATGGGAAGAAACGTTCTGTCTGCCCCTGGGAGCCATGATGGAAGGTTTGGCGCCAGTCTTCAATGAGTGCAGGGAACGTGCAATTGTATAGGTCCCTGTTATAATTCATATTGGACTCCCCTAAAAAAGCAGCCAAAATCATGAAAGGAGTCTGGAGTAGAATTAAGAATGGCTTACATTACTGCCCTTCCCCTATCCTTGCCTTGAGAAAGTAGCCTTCCCACAGTGCTTAGGAGTGGCCTTGTGACCTTCTCTAGCCAATGAGGCCTCAGCAAAAGTGATGTGGGCAAAAACTTGAAAAGTGCTTCAGCTTTGGGCTTCACTCTCTTGAAGCAACTGGATCCCTGAAACTACTATGCAAATAATAAATGAACCGGCTTATGAAGGAGGAAAGGCCACCTGAGAACCTGGTGCCCAGCACATAGCCCCAGTCAACAGATCTGAGAAAGAGGCCTGCCAGGTGGCCAAAGATATGTAAGAAAGCTCAGGGGGAATTAGCTGAAGCAACCCAGACAAAAGAATTACACTGCTAACCCAGAGAATTGTGAACTAAATAGAATTGCAAAATTATTATATTAAGCCACTAAATTCTAGGATGGTTTGTTACACAGCAAAAGCTAGTTATATGATGGACAATCAACAAACAGAGCACTCACCCTGGTACCATATCACCCCTTTCAGAGTCATATTTTGTAGCGGATGGATCATGGCATTCCAGAGAACAGAGTGCTCACTGGGACCAGTTACAGAATCCTGTGGAATGGGCCTATAATCAATGAGAAATACATATGTCACCAGAAAGCTAGTGATTAATCACATGATGATCCCTAAGCTAGGCATCTGTCCACTTCCACATGGGACAAACTTCTGATGAAAGCAACATACAAGTAAATTGGTTACTCAGTTTCACTTGAAAACATGTAATTAGTCTTTGAATTTCACCTCCAGGTTCTTCCTAGGTTAAGGGTGTCTTTCTATGAGTTCAGAGTGGCCATACCAATTTCCAGATGAGATGAGTGAAACCAGAAGGGAGAAGTGATTCCCTGTGAGTTTCTCACACAGGCAAAGTTTATCTACTACTCAATGGATGAAGACTTAGATTGATTTAAACTTTTTGTTTTTATAAGCAATGCTATGATCACCTTCCTTTTAGCTTAATTATTGCATGCATGCTTAATTATTTCCTTAAGATAAATTTCCAGAAATGAAATTGCTGGGTCAAAAAACATTTTTTWAAAAAAAACTTTGAACAGTCTCAAATTTCCTTATAAAAAAATGTATGTGAATTTATCTTCAAGTAGCTGAATATACCCACTTCTCCACACCCTTATCCTTCCCATCCCCAGAGGTCTATAAGGCCTAGACTTCAGACCACCACCCCCACCATGTGCTAGATCTGATCCTTCCTCCTATTCTACTAGAGGTCATTCTTTCTGCCCAAAGCTAATGTCTTCACTCTCCCTCAGGCAAGCTTTTACTCAAACCCTATCAAGAACAAAGTCCATCCTCCTCCCAGAGTGACACAGCCAGTGTCCAGGACAACATTTCACATCCTGCTCATTTCCATGTTGGCATTAGTATCAGGATTTTTATTAACTAGCCCTTTCTCCCCTATACATTCTGTCTGATCCAGATTTTCCTACATGGGCTTTCAAAGTCAGTATATTAACATAGTTTTTAGTACATCTTCATTCATTTGTTCCTACACTATTTTATTCTCCAGGAAATACAGCCTAATGGTTAGAAGCACACACTGGAGCCAGAATGTGCCACTTACTAATCATGTCCATAAGCAAGTTCCTAAACCTCTCTGAGACTTCATCTTTATCCATAGGATGTTAATAGTATTCTACACTTCAAGGAGTTTCTCTGAGTACTAAGTGAATTAATATATATATATATATTACTTAGAACAGTGCCTGGCATATAGGAAGCTTTCTGTAAGCATCAGGTATGGCTATTACTAAGGAAAAGGACCATAACTCCTTCTTGGCATGTTCTCAGATGATTGTGGTGGTGATGACACCACACTTCACCTGCGCGTGAAGAAATTCCATACATTCAACACATATGTGGGCATTCAACATATACTTAACCCCCCAACAAAGACCATGACCTTCTCTCTTACATACTTCTCTGGTAGGCTTTCTTCCAGGAGAAATTCTTTCTTACCCTTGATTAAGAATTCCACAGGCTTTCAGGGACCTTCCAGATGACCAGGCTTCAATGGGTGTCCCACCCCAGCTGGAGGAGATCAGTCCAATGGGATATTGCAGAGTGTCATATAGGTAACGCCCAAAGAGCCAGCACACTGCTGACATGTACGTGAAATTTCCCTGGCCTAAGTTTTCTGTCCAAATAAACAGTAGAAAAGGGGAAAGAAGTGGATACAATATGAGCTACAGCTACTAGATGGGTCTAGGTGAAAAGAGTGAGTTTGGATCATCCCTTCTGTACCTTTCTGAGACATCGAAAAGTAAGATAAGATTGAGAGGCAATGAGAAAATATAGCACCAAAACCAAGCATCTCTCAAACCTTCCAAAGGGAATACTATAGCCTTAGTGATGGTTTTCTTTTATCTGTCTTCAATTTTTTTCAAATGCTTCCCATAATTAGGAAATAATGCTCTCAGCCTGGCACAGAGGCAAATAACAATTTTACTCTCAATCTGAGTATAAATAATATACTTACATAATCAGGGAGCCAAAACTCTCCAGCCAGGCAAACAGGTCTCCCCATTTTTCCCCCATCTCCTCAGGTTCCTTAGAATCTAAGAATGTTAATACTCCTCCTAGTGGGTAAAAGTGGCACAAAGGCCCCTGGGTTCCTATATTATCCTTTTTTCTGCCTTTGTTCTTACCTGGCGACTCATTTCTACTGTTCTCCGTGGAAGGGAAAAGCAAGGATACAATAGGTAAAAAAGAAATGTGTATTTTTTATGAGGGATATTATAGTCAATTTTATAGCTATGGTAATTAAGACATGGACACATAGTGATAAGAAGTCTGACCAAAAGGGAAAGCAACAGAAATGAAAACCAGTGCTTAAATTTTCAGCAATCTAAACTGTTTGTCCATATTTCCCAGTAACCAACACAGGCTAGAGTGAACAATTTCCATGTTATAGGAAAGCTGACAAAGAGGGGAACATGCATGTACACACAACTGATAGAATCAAGTCAACCCAACATAAGACCTCCTGGCTTAGCCCTGTGAAGATCCAAATTCAACACAGTATAATGCTGGAATCCCAAAAGTTGATAATAGAATAGTAGAAATTCAAATCAATTTCAAATCAGTTAAAATTGATTGAGCACCTACTATGTGTCAGGAACTACTAGATGGTTGAGATATAGCAAAGAAAGAGATCTGAAAAGACTTCTCTTCTTAGGTTTGCAGTTTACAGAATAAGATAAATATTCTGCTGAATAAAATACAAAGCAAAATACATTAAGTGCCTCAGAAGATACAAATAGTTATTAAGGAATTTTAATACCAAATAAAAAATGTCAAATGAAAGTCAGATCATGAAAAGCCTGATAAAGACTGACCTCCCCTCCCCTGTGCTTCCATAATCCCAATACCTAGCTCTATCACTATATTTCGCTTCAATAACCCACTCAGTGTTTCCCTCACCCACAACACCACTAGCCACCTGAAAGTAGGTCTTCATCTTCCTCACATCTGTATCACCAATGTCTAGGACATAATAAAGTGTCAGTAACTGTATATTGGCTGTTGTTCAGTAGCTGTGGTAGCTGGTTTAAGGTGGATCACTGAGGGGTAGGTAGAAGATAACAGTAACTAGGAGGGCTGAAGGGAGTGGAGAGACCTTGAAGGATAGACAGAAATTTAATAAGCAGAACTATGATTCTAGGCAGGAGGAAAAAACGTGTTAAAAGCATGTGAAATAGGAAATATCTGAAAGTATTTGGCTGAAGCAGAGATTTAAAAAGGAGAATAGTGAAGGTAAATCTGGAGGGGAGGTTGGAGCTACATCTTGAAGTAATGAAAATGGAAAGCAACTGGAAAATGAGAATGCATGGCAAACAGAAAAAAAACACAAATATGTGCACAGCCTAATCCCTGGAACCTGCAAATGTATACTCTCCCATGGCTGAAGGGCTTTGTAGATGTGATTAGGGTTAAGGGATTGAGACAGGGAGAGTGTTCTGGATCAACCAGTTGGGTCAAATCTAATTATATGAGTCCTTAAGTCAGAGCAATGTGCCAATAGAAGAGTAAGAAGAGATTCTAACTATGGGAGAGACGTGACCCACTATGCTTTTCTGCTGAGATCCACATTGCCTCTTTCAGGTTATTACTGAAATGTCACCTTTTTCAATTGGGACTCCCCTGCCACTCTAAATTGCAAGCACTACCCCATCCCAACCTATCCTTCCCTACCAATCCTTCCATATGGCCTCCTTTCCCTGATGTATTTTGTTTATTTACTTTTGTCTCACTAGCACACATAATCATCTAACCTATCCTATGATGTCCAAATTTATTCAGTCTGAGTTCAGAGAGCAAAAGGAAATGATTCCTGAGTTTCAGATAACACATAGTAACACATAATAAGAGTTCATAAAGCAAAAAAAAAAAAAAAAAAAAAAACATTATCCAAAAATTAACCTAAATCCATTCTGTTCCAGAGCTCTTATAAGGGGAGAGTTCAGACAGTGTGAGACAGAATACCATCAGATACTACATATGTGATTTACTAATTATTCATTTTCCATATTCCTTCACACTAGACTGTAAGTACCATAAGATCGGGTATTCTTGTCTATTTTATTGACCACTACACCCACAGCAATTAGAACAGTTCCTTGACCATAGTGGGCACTTAGATATATGCTGAATATATTAGCTCTTGAAAATGTAGGAGAAACTGAGGTCACCAAGGTAAAGCATATATGGACAGAAAAGAAAAGGACCTAGAAAGAACACAGGAACCACATTTGAAGAAAGGTATTAGAAAAGCAAAGAACAGGGAAGAAGATAACAGGAGAAATAGAAAAAGGAAGTACCATGCAAGCTAGGAGGAACATGCAATTTCTAGCAGGGGTGATCCACAGAGTTGAATGCCACAGAGGTCTATGGAGTTCAAAATGAGAAGAGTAGTAGCCTTGAGTTGAACAAATTGTTGAGATGGAAGCAGAAACCAGATTATAAAAGAACCATGGCAAGGTCATGAAAAGAATGAAAACAAAAGATGTTCTAGAAAAGTATAAAAAAGTAAAGGAGAGAGATGAGGCTTCATGAGAAGGGTGTTATGTTCAACTTTCTTTGTTAGAATAAAAGGCTACACTCTGTGTAGGGATTACGTGTCCATCTTAGTCACTGCTGTGTCCTTGGGGACTAGCACAGAGCTTGACACTGAGAAGGCATGAAATAAAAGATTCTATGCTGAATAGACAGTGGGGGAGAGAACTGAGCCTAAGGGATAAGAGAAGGCCCTAGAAGTAAGAGCCATCAGAATTAGCCCTGAAAGGATACCAGTCAATTGTCCTTAAACACAGAAAAGAAGGAAGAGAAAACAGAGGGTCAAGGGAATAGAGAGAGATACTAGCACAGCTCATGCTGAATAGCCTCAATATATTCACCAAAATTGAAGGAAGAGTCTTTTCCTCAAGTAAAAGGTCTTTTGGAGTCTTGGGGAAAAATAAAACAAGTGAAACATGACTATCAGGAATGGAATGAAGAATCAATAACAAATAAGTAAAAGGATAATTCAGTAATAATAGATAAGAACCACATTGGGGCTTACAGATTCCACTTAAAGCACTGACCCATCTTTAACATACAGTACATGCTAAAGTGCTCACATACCAGAGGTAGGTTTAGACCATGGCAAGTCAACCGCATCAAGGTCCTCCAGCTCCTGCTCTGCTTGAATGAGTGAGACAGAGAGGATGCGAATAGACTGATAGGCAGCAGCACTGGACAGCTCCCTTGTAGCATTAAATATCTAGAAGAGAAATTGAAATGTTATTTAACCTAATGGGTGGTGAACTGGCTGCCGCCTCTTAGGAAATACTTCCTACTCACTGAGTTCCTTCTGAGCCTTCAATATACTGAAATTAAGTGAAATAACCCGAACTGGTAATGAGCTGGACTGAACCACCTTGATCCACTTTGATTAAAAGAGACCATGATGAATCATGTTCCAAGGAGGATTTGAATGTAATGAACCCAATGATCTTAGGAAGTAGGTCTATGGTAGACAAGAGGGGGTTGCAGTACTTTAGGCTAAATATTGACTAGTAAGTAGAGACCACTGGTATCTTAAAACTAAAATACTTCTGCTCTGAAAAATTATCTGATAATGGAAAGCCATGGCAAGTAACTTCTTTTTTAAAAATGAGCTTAGAGAGCCTATATGGAGCCAAAAAGGCCATGGGGAGGTAGATTTATGTAATATAATCCATATCATCCAAGAAAAGTGTATTCAAAAGAAACACACCTGGAAAGTGATAGTTGAAACATACTGGAATCAATCTCACAGTGCATACATTCTCATCTTGTCATGCTAAAAAAAAATCACTAGAGAAAAGCATGGGTGCATGGCAACCTGAAAGGTGGTGTTCAGGATAACAGCTCAGAACAGTCCCAAGAATTTAAACATAGAAGATATATCACATTATACTAAATCATTTATGAATCTTCATCAGTTACCAAGAATATGACAGGAGTGGCTAAGGGCTTTTCTGGATAAGAATATGTGTACTATACTGAGTAGTTTATTCATTAGTCCTATTAAACCTCATTCCTCTATGAGGTATACACTGCCATTTCCTTAAATCCTGATTTTTTAGTTAAGGTTTTCCTTTATTTTAAAAAGAACAGATAGACAATATCTTGCTTTACCTTTTCAGTTATGTATTTTCTCTTGACTCTTCCTTAATCCCCTGAACTAGTCCTGCTTCTCCCAAAACAAAGGGCCAAAGGAGCTTGAGGAAGCCCAGTTACCATTAGCCCCAGGGAACAGGCGCTCCAGCTGAGTCTGGACCGCCACAACAAGCAGCACAGAAGGCTGGGATACTTTCCATTGGCCTCCAGCCACAGAGTGTGCAGCTGGCTCGCTCTCCCTCCTACCCACCATGGAGAATACAGCTGGCCCTCCAGCCCACAGTAGAAAAGAAATGATGGAGCAGCCAGGGTGCCCCCACAGAGAATTTCATTGAAATATGCTACCCCTGGAATCATCTTTTGACTTGCCACTGAGCCTACTCTGGCCAATGAGATGGCCAGAATCAAATGAAATGGCTCTTTTAGTCACAATGGGAATTCTGGTCTGAAATGCCTTCTGGGTAGCAGCAGCTCCAGCCTGTCCAGGTAACTGGTCTTCCTACTTTCAGGACAGATTATACAGTCTCAGTAAAATTCCACAGGAAATCCAGGCCTATTTCTTCAGGATCTTGCCTGGCAAGGTTAATGTGAAATAAACATTCAAAAGTAAAAACAGGCTAATGCACTCACAGTATATTCTGGCAGGGAAATTATTTTTCAGAAGCAAGTACCTGTAAAAAAGTCTCCTCCCTTGGAATTCAGTTCTGCACTAAGCACGAAGGATCATATGTTGCTTCCATGGAAACAGTGGATGAAACTGCTTTCATCCTCTCCACCCACACTAGCTTCCGCACTGACTGGGAACTCAAGCGCCTCATGGCAATGAGATGCCAGCTTGGGGAGGGAGCATGGGAGAACATGCTACTTGTCTTTTAGACTAGTTGCTAACGATTAGTGTACTGCCAGGCCAATGGAGTCAGAGTGGCTGGCATTCTCCTGTATTGTTACCAGCACATGGAACTGGATCCAAAACATTGCCTGGAAAACTTCCATTTTCAAACTCACACTTGTGTATTATTTCAAGCCAGAACTTGAAAATCACAGAAAGTGTTAACAAAAATGGGGATGGGGAAAATTTTTCTGCTGTACCTGATGACAATTACTTCTGAAACTGGTAGCCTTTCCCAATATTACTAGGCCTTTTTGATGGAAGCATTTCCTCAGGGATATTGGCAGCAAACTCAGGAATAAAGAGATTTCAGGAAGATTTTCATTTAAATGACACTTGGTTTCCCTGCTGATGAAAGGGGAAGCCTTACTCCATCTGCTGAGATCAGATTTCATCTCATCAAACACCTCAGTGTAATTATTTTTCTACCAAGTATTTAAATGAGGATGTAAATGAAGACCAAGGTATTTGAAGTCATTAACGCTGCTGAGGCTGAGGGAGAGCACTGCTGCCTCTCCAGGGACCAGACCGTTAGCCATCAAAGCAGCTGCTCACCGGTGTTCATTTTGTAACCTTTATACCACATTCTTGAATTAATGAAGACGCATCAAGAATCTATTTCCTCAAAGGATCTTGGCATGGGGTCTGCATGAGAGAACAAGGCATGCATGTGAGAGCATGCATATGTGAATGTGTGTGTGCATGCACATGCAGGCATGTGAAGGACACAGAGAAAATTACTGACTTAAAAGAATTTGGATATTCTGTAAGTTACTTTATATTCTACTATAGCATAATACAGTTATCCTAAAGTTGACATAATAATATAAAGAAGCCAGTCATCAAAACTCCTGTGAATCTTTTACTGAGATATGGTACCAGTCCTTCCTTTCTAGATTTTAATTTCTCTACTGGTAAACTAAGAATATGGGGAGTGACAACCTATGGAGAAATGGGTTTCCTGTCTGATATTGGCCATCTTTTTCTAAGCCTAACAAGAAATATCCAAGTCTTAAGACCTACCCTGACTTAGGAGGCAACAGATGAACATTTAGATTTTTCTCCATTTATAAACATCTCACTCAGTGTTATAAATAACATTCAATTTTAAAATTCCACTTTACCCTAACAACAAGATGGGCATACAATCTGCCATTTCCTTCTTTGAATGTGAAAAGTGGTAGGTTATAGTGAGAATTTTACCTCCTCAGAAAAGTCACATGGGAGGGAGGGAAAGAAAGACAGTGTTTGATGCAAGCTTGAGTGCATGCATGTTTTGGGGGGAGGTTGGGGGGGAACCTGTAGAGGGAAAAGAAGCAAAAGAATAAAAGGGGAGTCATAGATCCTTCTGATCAAAAAAATAAGATTCTACTGACTGTTAAGAGACTAGAAAACTTGGCTTTCAATACCATCAGCACCTAAAATTCTGTCTTGCAAACCAAGTGCATGGTTTAAAATAAAAAATTAACACTTGGATATTTCAGATGGAATTTTTTTTTTGTTCCCCTACATCTCAGAGCTCACAGCACTAGCTTAGTACAGAAGATGCTTAAGAGTAAATTCTAGGCAGAAAGAGTGTGTTTACTCGTAACAATCAAGATCTGATTTAGCTTGACAGAAAATGGGATAGGATTCCTTGGCATAGACTGCTATTGAGAAAGTGACTATATAGATACAAACAGATCTGGTCCATGCCTTTCTGTGCAAACATGGAGCTGTAATTAGAGCATTAAGGAAATTACTGTTTTCCTCAATGAGTTAACAGCAATTCCTCTATACAAAATCATGCTTTCTATCAAGAGATAAAGCTTCAATTTTATGTCCATTCACCTAAATTAAAGAGTCTAGTCAAAATTCAGTTTAATAAGCATTTCAATTCAAAAGTTTTCCATATATTTAAGTAAGGCAAGAACTATAAAAAATAARATATTGGTTAGGAAAACCTAAATATAAAAATTGAGATTCTTGGGGCTGGGATTGAGGCTCAGAGGTAGAGCTCTCGGTAGCACACATGAGGCACTGGGCTTGATCCTCAGCACCACATAAAAATAAAATAAAGATATGTGTCCACCTATAACTAAAAAGTAAATATTAAAAAAGAATTTAGATTCTGAATTAGAAAACTAATGATGAAATGAAGTAGATATGTCCAGAGTGAGATCTTTTCAAATAGCATTATTTAGTAATAGGTTTTTTTTTTTTAAGCCACTAAGAAGAAATTATAAGGAATAGAAGCTAGAGAAGAAAAAAGAGACTCTAATCTGAAAGGACTAAAATAAAAAAAATTTTCAAGAGAGCTGAATTGAGATCATGATCTAATTATAGAGATTTTAAACCTCAAATTTAAATATTTCTCAAAGATGGGAAAGTGTATAATGAAGGAAGGAAAAAATAAATAAATAAAAATAAACTAGAAAAGAAACTCAGATTGGTAGAAAGAGTAAGGGAAAACAGAAACATTTCCAAGTTCTTAACCTGTTAAAACAAACAAAGTATAGAAACATATTAGTGCCAATCAATTACTGCCAATTTAATCAAACTTACTTATTAAGGTTGTTAAATTTAATTTACACATGAAGGCACTTAGAACAGATCTTGACACATGGTAAATACTTAATAAATATAAACAGCCTTCCTTCTCCTTATTGCACCCTTGTCTTTCTTCTTTATCATCAATATTATTTATTGTTACTACTCTGGAACATTACCTGTAATACAGTCATCTGCATGTTACTCTGCCCACTGCAAAGCCAGACATCTCCAAATAAGATATCATGGACTTTCAAGGTAATATTTCTTGTCCCAAAAGTCTGTTGTGCCATCATTTCAAAAGGTCCACCAGGCTTCATAGGATCCAGTATCACCATCCAGGTATTAGAGGGTGCTAAAATAACAACAGGTCTCCAAGGAGTTAATCAGTCAATCACTTCAAATGAAATTAAAGCCCAGTTATACTCATTTATAGCTATTTCCAGACTCTGTGATAAACTGTATCCAAAGTTATAAAGATTGGCCATATTTCAGAAAAAATAGATAGAACTGACAAGAGCAGCAGCATTTTTATCTGTAATCTGTACCAATCCCTTCTTATTTTTAACTGAAATAAGTTGCCCAGTTATAATCCTAAATGAGGACAGACAAAAATACACACAGATTAAAATTCAAGGGAATTTAGTATAAAAAAAACATAAAACAGAAATTCTTGTTACACTATCCAACTGTCAATACTAACATAATTTAATCTTTTCTCTGTACCCCAAACTAATTTGTAATTATCCAATCAAATGTGAGCACAGATTATAGAAAAAAATCACTTATAATCTGAAACTCTCCCTTATAGTACAATCACCCCTCTTATCAACCCCCTCCTCCTCTCATGTTCCTAACAAGAATTAATACCACCAGTGGTGCTGCGTTCTCCTACAAACAGGTGCATGAAGAAACTGATTCATCAAAAATTAGTGGGATGAAAATAAGAAACTAGTAGTGTAGTGGAAGGGAAATTGACATGATGGGAGGAGGGAAGGACATGAAATGAAATCTATCAAACTATGCTATGTCCAGGTATGAATTTACTGCAATGAATTATATATGTGTGTAATATAATATATGTATATATTATATATGCATATGTAATACATAGTAAATATATAATAAATCAATACATATAAATAATTGATATATATATAATTATAATGCATTAAAACAACAATGATAATAATATAAGGGAGATCCATAGAATAAAGCAAGCAGATCAAGGGAGGGAAAGGGAAGACACTGAAATGAGATTGATCAAGTCATGTTGCATGCAAGTATGAATGACATGATGAAGCCAATATTATGTATAATACAGTACACCAATAAGAAGAAAGCAGAAGACATACAAATAAATCTCTCTGTGAAAGAATTATTTTGATTTGTCTAATTAAATATTTTCAGAGTCATTTACAAAATTTAAGATGTTTGAACTCAATTAAGGAGCTGAGAAGCTATCCAAAACCCTATTTCAGACATTCATAGCTTTTTCCTTAGAAACACCCCCCCCACCACCACCATCTTCCTAACTTCTCAAACACACTGCAGGGGTCACCACTGCCAACATCATACTCAGGAATTTAGGAAAATACCTTCAAAATAACAAAATTATTCCTAAAAGAATGAAACAATAAGCAAAGTTGAAGAAATAAGAGTAGAAAAATCGAGAAATGAACAATTTAAAATAAAATTTTTTTCAAAGAATATGAACTAATTTATAATACCCATCCAATCAATGTGAAGGAAAAGAATGGTAAAAACTGGAAAAAGCATTCTGAAGTTATTGTACCCAACCCATGAGAAATAATAATTATAAAAATACCATCCAAGTGCCTACTATGTGCCACATACTGTGTGGTTCTTTCTAATCAGCAAGAACTACGCAGAAACACGAGAATCCCACATACATATATATAAGGAGATAAGTAAAAGTCTAAACCATAAAGGATTATTTTCCTGGAGGAAATGTCCAAAAAACCCCAAGGTATCGGTGAAAGGGTGCATGTTTGCTCCTCTGGAAAGCATAATTCACTAAGCTTGCAACTCGCATCTCTAGGAGGTCAATTAAGCCCAGGACCAAATGTTCACAATTGTTTTTCTCTCACCAATAGCCAGACACCAACATATTAAATGTATAATTCACCTAAAGCAGAAAAATCACTGTTTTGGAAACAGTGGGCAGCTAGTACAGATTGTGTCGCACAGGTGTGATATGCTCCGTATGGCTTACACTTCTGAGCAGGCAGACGCTCCAATCTGTCCTAATAATCTTGCCAAGGTCTTTCCAGGCTTCCTATACTGACATATCTCACTAAAGCTCTGTCCTTCTGCCACCAACATTACTCATATAAGGTGATGTGGCAAACCCCCAGAAAACCCAGGATAGGACTATTTCTTAGCCTTCCACTACTATACAACATATTCCTAATCACTGCTATTAATTAGAGATTTATCCTTAACCTCAATGCAGGCCACATGGCAGGTGAAGAAAATTACCCTTACACCAACTTCTGAAAACTTTTACTGCCCAAGAATAAAAAGACGGTAAGGGAGTGAGAGTATGAACAATTTGAGTAAAACATGGCAACATCAACCTAATATAGCTGGAGGGTAGGCTTCCTGTTGGGCTAGAGCCTGAGGGGAAACTGGCATTAAGACTTGAGCCCAGAGAAATCTGCTTTTGACTTCTTCAAAGACCCCAAGGAATTTCCTTCTGTTCAAAAGCCACCATGTTTCACGAGGAGAGCTGGCTGGTCCTTGGATTGTCAGTTCAGTTCAGTTTGGCTAAAGAGGAACTTACCGTAGGCCAGTAAAGTCCAGTTAAGAGGTTTTAGAAGCTGCACTCACCATCAAGCCCACCAGGTTGTAATAAAATTGATCCACTGACCACAAAGGGCTCACCATTACCAAATGCCAAGTTCACCATCCAGCTGGTTTTCTGCTGATCCTGATAGGCTTTTTGAGCTTTAGTTCCTCCTTCAGGATCCTAAAACTACCCTTACCACAACTTCTGAAAACTTGCTATCTTGTTTTTCTCTCACCAATAGCCAGACTCCAACATGTTAAATGTATAATTCACCTAAACCAGAAAAATCACTGGTTTAGGTGAATTTACCAATCCTGGCCCAGATATCTATAAATTCTCATTTTTGTTGCACTTAAATCTCTGTTCCTTTGCATTTTTTCTTCTACCATCTAGGAAGACTAATTTCCTTTCTTCATTATATAGCTACTTAAGAGTGCTTACCATGAGCCTGGCACTCCATCAAGTAAATGTCAGAAAATAAACCCTAGTCCTAGGTTACACTGATGAGAAAGCCAAGCAATTTGACTAGGGCTTTATGATTCATGCATAACAGCATATTTGGTGGCCTGTTTCTTATAGTTGCTCTTCATATTCCAGCCAAAGACATAAGTAAAGAACTATGTAATCTGCACTTTCTCTCCATCTCTCCAATTAATTGCAACTTCAAAATGAGAAGAGCAAACAATCAAAGGGAAAAAATGATCATAATTTGCCCAGAGACATGATTAGTCATAAAAGTGCTTTCTTGCTTTTTCTTTTTGCTATTCACATCAGATGTTGTTTTGAAGGTTATTGTGCCAAAATCTTAGAAGCCAAGAAAAAGAAAAGGAAAAATTATCCATGACCTTTGCCTTCCCAAGAGAGAAAAACCTAGAGCTGAAAGAAGCAGCCCTATTCACTGCTCCTCATGGAACCCTGGATCTTCACCAACTGAAAAGTGGTTCAGTGGTTTTTGGAAGTGGCTTGAAGGTGAAAGTGGTTTACTGCCTAAACCATCCCTTATTTACCTACATTTACTCTACAACCTGAATTTCAAATCCAATACAACCAAATATGAATACAAAATAAGCCAAATTTAAATACTTTTCTTTTAATAAAACTGCTCATGCAAGTTACTTAGACTACACATGCCATGGCAGACACCCCTTAGGGTGACCTCCAAAGTCACAGACTTATATCATCCCCTCCCTTCAAGAGAAAAGAGAGCCTGTGATTTACTTTCAATCAACAGAAAACAGCAAAGATGAGATGTCACTATTGTGATTATGTTATATAGAAAAGGTGAAGGGATTTTGCAGATGTGATTAAAGTCCCTAATCAGTTGACTTTCAATGAATAAAAGGGGAAATTGTCCTGGGTAGGCCTGACTCACCAAGGCCATTACTAAAGGGTTCAGAGGTCAGAGATTTGAAGCAACAAGGATGCTGCCATGAAGTCTGCCCCTCAAGAAATTAATTCTGCCAAAAACCTAGAGGAGCTTGGACCTGGATCACTCAATAGTCACCCCTCCAGCTGAGAACACAGACTGGTCTTGACTTCAGCCTAGTGAAACCTGAGCTGAAAACATAGTTAGACCATGGCCAGATCATAGACATGCAGAGATTGTGAGATAGTGAAGGTGTATTATTTTAAGCACCTAAGTTTGTGGTAATTTATTATGCAATATAAAAAAATTAGTATGCATGTTACCACTGCAAGCAGGAGTGGGGAAGGGTGTTGGCTTTTTTGTGTTTTTCTAAGACAAAATTAGTCTGTTTTCCTCAATTGTGATGACAAATACAGAAACACCCTCATTTTATCACCTGCATACACACACACACACACACACACACACACACACACACACACCCTGCTATGTTTGTTAAAGTTAGATGATATACCTATTCTCCCTGGCTTTATTCCTTGTGTCTGCATTACTTGACACATGATTTGAACAGACCCAGTAAGTGACCATATTTGGATCATCCTTTAGGTTTTTATTATCCCAATGCTTAAGTGTCAGTGTGCTGGACAAAAACCTACACATTGTTAAAACTCCACTTTGTTCTGGGTCCCTAAGGAATAGCAGGTAATAAGGACAGGTAAAAATTTAAGAGGCAGACCAAGTGGGAAATTGAAATAGTCTGACAGAAAATCCCAGCATCCTCATCAAAATTTTAAATAAAAGCCAGGCACAGTGGCGCATGCCTGTAATCCCAGTGGCTCAAGAGGCTGGGGCAGGAGGATTGTGAGTTCAATGCCAGCCTCAGCAAAAGCAAGGTGCACTAAGCAACTCAGTGAGACCCTATCTCTAAATAAAATACAAAAAATAGGGTTGGGATGTGGCTCAGTGGTTGAGTGCCCCTGAGTTCAATCCATAGTTTAAAAAAATAGTTTTTTTTAAATAGAATCTAGCTGTTTAATATTCCCTGTAGTGTCTCTTTTGAGCAGTTTTTTTTGTCTGCACTATAAATCTTCTTTCATGTCTGCCTTCCTTATTCCAAATAACACTTTATGCATTTTGCTTCATGGGCAGAAAAGAGCAAGATGCCAATTGAAGTAGGTTTTCTGACATCTATAAATTAAAATACCTTTATTCTCTACAAGTAAATGTGGGAATGCTGATAAATTGATCTACCACTATCATCACCAATATTACCAACCCCTTTTCCTGTGAAATTATCATCAAGAGTCCATGAATCACTTGATTCCCTTAAGTACTGCTGGTTATTTTAACTCCAAAAAAAATATATATCACTTTACAGTGAAGCAACTGGAGCAGTATTTGAGCCTAAATCACTAAAATATGAAAGGAAAACATGAGAGAATGAGCTTCAGAGGGATAGGCACTGTTTGCATCCTTCTTTGTATTTTCCTGTGGTTTCTATGACAGTGTTTTATATGCACTACGCCCTTGATAGATGATTATAGAATTGAAATTAAGATAAATTAGCAGGTTTGCAATCACTGTAAAGAAAAAAGGAAGTTCATCTCTGAATGATTACATTTGATGCCTTCCCATCACCACCTACCCGCCAGCTTTATCTGTGCCCACCTCACATATTAGTCCTGAAACAGGCATGAAGGGGGTAAAACCTCTAAAAATAACACAGAAGAACAATCTTTAAAACTGAAATGCTATATAATATAATGTATTCTGTATATCTATCTCTACAGTATTATGTAGTCTCTGTCTCCTATTTATTTATTTATTTTTTTTAGAGAGAGTGAGAGAGGGGGAAGAGAGAGAGAGAGACAGAGAGAGAGAGAGAAAATTTTTTTAATATTTTTTTTTTTTTTAGTTCTCGGCAGACACAACATCTTTGTTGGTATGTGGTGCTGAGGATCGAACCCGGGCCGCACGCTTGCCAGGCTAGCACGCTACCGCTTGAGCCACATCCCCAGCCCTTCTGTCTCCTATTTACTGGTAACATTATTAGCACCAAAGAAACCCCATATCTTATTTTTAAACCAAAATCAATGTCATTTACTGAGAGGGCCACTATTTGCACACAATGCTTCTCATTTCTAAGAGGAACACAGCACAAACAGAAAGCACTAGTTCTGGAATTCTTCATTTTCAGCATATCCTGTGTTACCAGTATCGTTTAGCTCAAGAGACAACCATGTCTCAATCAGCTGAAGTTTCCCTTTCAGGTCTCTTAGTTTCACCCAACAACAGTTTTACCTTAAAACATCTTAAAAATCTGCTAGAAGTTCTTACCTTGCATCTATGCCTGGTTTGCATTTTCAAATGTGTGCTGAATGAAAATTTTCTGGAATATGAAGACAACAGCACTGGGTCTGGAATACTCTAGATTAGATCATCAGTTCTGATAACTGATAAAACTAACAAGGCCATCCTTGTTTATAGGGGCCAGGAAAGTTTCCACCAGCTTCCCTGTCACATGTCTATTTTAATTGCTCAAACCACCAATTCATATGTTAACTCCAACACCCCCTTCCCCAGTAGTCTCTTACCTACCTCGMTGTCACTTCCACATTCTAAAGCTCRTAAGACCCAGCCCTGAGCACACCATCCAGCATCCAGCAACTTCTAGCTTTGCCTCATCCATACTGTCTTTTATATCTCGTATCTCTTCTAGAAAGAGACCCCTTTATAATATCTCCCTGCTCATGAAAGCTGCTAATTCTCATCTTTTTGACCATCAATCCTCATGGCTACTCTTTTGGGTCAAGCCCTCATTTTGTATTGGCTGGATAACATAATAACATGCTAACAAGTCCCACCAATGCTTGAATTGAAGCAACTGGAGCATTATTTGATAGCCAATCCACCTTCCACAGTATTGCCAAAGGGATCTTTCTAAAATACCAATTTGATCAGGTTATTTTGCGCTTAAAATCAATTGATCCAAAGTAGAGAATCTACTAATTAGCAAAGACAAACAAGCCTCCCTACCTCCCCACCTCACCTTCTCAAACTCAGCTCCTCTTATCTTCCACCTCTCACTTACCCACCTGCCTGGCACTTCTTCAGTGACTCACCTCCACTTATACCTCCATGCCTTTGCCCCAGCCGCTCCCTCTCTCTGGTCTGCCTTACTCATCTTTCAAGACAAGCCTCATAACAAGTTCTTTATCCCTACTTCCCTAAGCATTTCCATACATTATGTCCTTCCTCATTGTGGCACTTATCACACATTCTTTTCCTGTCTCCTCCCCTAAATACATTACGGGGCTTCATTAAGGGAGAAGGCATATCTTTTTTGCTCATCACTATATCACCAGTACTCAGCACAGTATCTGGTACATGTGTTAATTCATTTCATCCTTAAAATAATCCAATAAGTATTATGACTATCTCCATTTCACATAGAAACTATGGCACAGATTTTTAATAGCATGTCTGAGGACTATAAAGTCATTAAATAACAAGAGTCAGACCCAATCCCAGACAGGAATTCCAGAGTCAAGCTTCTTAACCATACCTCTATAGTGCCAGAGTTAAATGTTTCTCTTCTATATTCCATGTCAGCCCTATATACATCTTCATCAAAACATTCATCACAGCACTATATGACTTGCTATCAATTTGTATTGTTCCACGAGCTCTGTAGTATCAGGGACTTTGAGCCTTATTTTTCTCTGTATTCTAGGTTTCTGCCACTTAGTAAGTACTCAAATAACACTGATGAAAGGATGGATGGATGGATGGATGGATGGATGACCTGGGCTGGAGCATAAGCATTCATTTTCAGATAATCCAGCAGGTGGCAGAAGAAGACAAAAGCTGAACAGAGGATGGGCTGCCTTACCTTTCACATGGGTCACTTTCTTCATATTGATTTCTTGACCTTGATACAAGGTCACTGTCACTATGGCTCCAGGTATACCAAAGCCCCAGATCACTGCTCCTGCAGGCTCCTTCTGCAGCACCATGTAATTATCAATGTACGAAGCAAAGCGAAAACCAACACCTAAAAAATTCAGCAAACTGGTACATTATCAGGGAGTTTCAGCACCAACTGGATCAAATGAAATAGAAAAATACAGTCTATACCAAGGAATTCAAGTACATTCAAACCTTTTAATCTTTTAAAACTAGATCTTATTCCTCCTAATTAAGTAAGCAATGTAACAAGAACAGTTCCAAACAATACATATCATAGTACAATATGACCTCTAAGGAAACCAGTGCCTCTTTTCCTTCTCTCCCCTTCAGAGTTCTTGATCTTCCTTTGCTCTCAGACTAGGCCCTAATACTTCTCCCCACAAATCCCTAAAATGTTCCTTTCATGCACACCACAAATGGTGTTTATAAGAAAACTAAACCATTTCCTTCCCTGACTTTCCATTACTACACCTATCCACAGTAGCTGGGAATAAAGAAGCCATCCTGTCTCCATCACAGCTTCTCTAATATCCCCCACCCTTTATCTCTAATCAATGTTAATTTCCGTCAAATAAATCCCCCTTATTATGGTTTTTTGACCACCCCCAGTACTGCATTTATGAATATTTTTGAAAAGTCTGCTTCTTTCTCAGGTAATTTCAGATAAATCAAGACACAAAAATATGGTCAGTAAGAGACAAAAGGTCAAAGTGTCTAAAGAAAGGTCTTTTGTTACAATTTTGCCTATTTCACAACCTTAATTCTACAAAAAGAAAAGAGAAAGCACAATTGAAACTGTATTCTATTCTACAGTCGATAACAAGACTGAATAAGAATTCACTTTAACAAGATCACTCCTATTTTTAACTTCCAGCCTATATTGAAGTATTTTTTTAATAAAATCCAAATGATCTCATTGAGTTCCTCATCAAAATTTTAGCATGGAAAATAATAAAACTTATGCCCCAACTTGTCTGAACAAAACGGACCAAAAAAAAGTCCCTAAAATAATTTACAAAATTAAGTTTAAGGGTTTTAACCAAAAATAATAGGCAGAGAAAGAATCAGAATTAACAAAGCTGACATTTTCCTCCCTGGAAGCTATAAATGATGACAGGCCCCTTAGGCTACACTTAACAGCAGTACAGCTAATGGTACAAACTTGGTGGCCTATACTGCTCTTGGAAGCCCAGTCCCTAAAAGTCCTTAGCTAGTGCTCATGTACCTCAMCCCTACCCTCATGAGCTAGTTTGATCATGATACCTACAGTGACAATCAGAGATCACCCAGAAGGCCTAACAGGCTGCAAATAACAGCAGCCATGAACAAAACACTCTAAGAGACCACAACACCCCAGAATTGCATAAGCAGGTTGGCAGCCTGCTGAGGGAAGGGGGAGGCACAAGTGTGGGAGGGCCCTGTCTTGAGTAGGTACTTCACATGGAACAAAAACCAAAAATCAAAAGCATAAATAAGAGCTAAGTAGAGAGAGGGTAGGAGTGGAGGAATGGAGTGAAGAAAACTGGCTGCTATTTGCATATCTGAATGTGCAGCCAATAGCCCATAGACTGGGGAAGTACCTTTTCAAGGCAGTCTGTGTTGGCCAATACATACTTACTGAATATATTTGTTCATGGCTATATTATGCTGAGCTAAAGAATTTTAGAGGTGAAAGCCTCTTAGAATCATGTTTGTTACTGATCAAAAGGTACTGACCAAGAGACTAAGACCTAAATAAATTAAGCAATTTTTAAAATAACTTTTGCATATTTGTTAATTCAACAATACTTATTGATTGATGCTTACCATGTGCCAGGCACCATTTTAAGTATCAGGGATAGAACAGTGAAGAAAACAATAGATAAAAATCCTTATCAGCAAGCAGCTGACATTCTAGAAGGGAGCTTACTGTGGCAAGCACAATGCTAAAGACACTAAATATTAAACTTTGACAATGGACTTAAATCACAAGGTAGTTTATGAGAGGACTACTAGAAACTGAGTTACCTGAGTCCAAAGTTATTATTACTCTGCCACTGTCAGGTGTGCTTATAAGGTTTAAATTCCAACCTGATTAGACAGTGGAACATGAAGACCAAGGAATTGAGCAATGGACTAAGGAAGATTGAGAGAACAAGACTGGCAATTGCTTTTGAGTCAAACACAATACACATTTAACATTTGATTTTTTTTCTTTAATTTCTCCTTTTATTTGGGAGCAGAATTGAAAAGAAAAAAAAAGGAATGAGTGCTTCAGGTAACAGACAGACCATCATTACAAGTAGACTAACAAAATTAGGATAGTGATTACCTCTCATGGGGGACCTGGCAGATGCACTGTGGAGGAAAACACTGGCTCAATAAAACTCAGTATTTTAGTTCTCAAATTGGGTGGTGAGTTCATGGGTCACTTCATTGTTACACCTCAAATATCACATGATAAACACTGGCAAAGGGGGGTGAGTGGTTTAAAGGAAAGACCTCAGGATATGAAACCAAGTAAGAAAGATGGGAAATTAAGAACATGAATGAATGAATGAAAAATATAGTCCTTATTAGTGAAGGTTATGTAATGATATGACCCAAAGGAGTTGATACTGATATTAAAGATAACCCTTAACAGAAAAATTAATAAAATAATGGCTCTATTCTCTTTACCTTCTGCTCAACTTGTATGATGGTTCCCAATGGTCACTGAGTGGTGATGAGTCAGGGAATGACAAGCAGAGTGCTACTAATTGAACTCTAAAAACTATTCACTATGCTGCCTGTGTGAATATGGGTATTTTGTAGGTGCTTCAGTAGAGCAGCAGTCATATCATTCTCCCATCTCAACTTACATTTAACAGAGATCTCTGGGACTCGGTCTTTGAGTGGTTTGAAGAAGGAAAAATAATTCAGCACTATCACTTTACTTTGTATTAGCAGACAGAGCCCCCTTTTCTGGTATCTCCATGCTGTGACCCAGGGTTCAGCCCAAGGTATTCAAACAGCAGGCTCTGACCTGCACAGTGGCCAATTTGAGTTACTCCCCTTCCCAACGCATATCATCCACCATCCATATTTCTAAGCTGCACCAGAAATCAAAGCTGAGCCTTAAATTATTCTGAGCTAGTGAGGGGGTTGTATTTCTTAGCCCTAATAACCACTTAAACGAGTAAAATTTAATTCCCCCAAGGAACCCAGGCTGATGCACAGCCTCCCCAAAGGCACCACTGAGGGGGAAGCTGCTGAAATGTTTTGGATGACTCAGTCACCTGTTTCCCAATAGTTTTTAACTAGCTTCGCCCCCTTTCCTCCTAGCTCCCCTGAGGGCCTCCGTCTGGGCACATTTGAGCTTCCTCACTCAGATAAACCTAACTCTTTCCCCTCCTCCACACAAGTTAAGGACAGTGGGTGGGAGCGGAGAAAGCGAAAGGGCTTGGCCTCCCGCGCAGCAAACACCTGCAAGCCTGCCAGGGTCGCAGAAAACCGCCCCAGGCCATGGCCTCGGTCCCAGACCTAGAAGGCCGGCGCGGATCGGGATCCCGAAGAGGATCGGGACCTCGGAGACTGAGGCCCCTGAGGGGTCCGAACGAGCCGGGCCGCCTCACCTGCACTTCTGTCGGCCAAAAGGATTAATGGCAGAACCAGCCGGAGTGCAGACCCTGGGGTCACCATGCTTGCGACGGTCTGTCGGCAACCCGCTGGACTTGGGAAGTGCACCACAGCGGGGGGCGGGGCGGGGGCAGGGGCGGGGCGGGGCTTGTGAGGCCGACTCCACCCTCTYCCGGACCTTCAGTCCGCGAAACCAACGCGGCCTCGGAGGGAGGAGCTCCTCTCTCCCTCCGGGCCGCCGTAGTTTAGGGGGAGGGAGGAAAAACGGTTACCCAGCAACGAGAAAAAACAACCGGAACCACCCGCACCAGCTGGGAGAGAAAGCAGAGGTGAGGCGGTTTCCCCCACTCGCTCTCCAACACAAAGACCTCGCCTTTTACCTTCGTCTCTGGTATTCTCTCAGCATCCCCTACACACTCTGGGGATCCGGGAGCAGATTGGGAGCCAAGGCAGCCCATCCTTCGAGAGTCTGAAATCCCAGGTCCTCGACGGAATCACACCATCCGCCCTCCCTCCCCAGCCTGGTTCAGGGTCTCACCTGTCCTTTCACAACGTCTGGAGGAAGGTCTCAACTCCTGTTTCCTCTACAAAGGGTGGGCGCGGGGAGGACTTGGGCGTCGTTAAACCCTCTTGTCTCCCAACCTGGACCCCTATTCAGCGCTGACTCACAAAACAGGCCGGGTCCCTGGGTATTCTTTGCATACTCAGTAGTCCAGCCCATTGCTTGGCAGCTACCTTAATCTAGCCTTGTATTCTAAGAAAGAGAAGGCCTGGTCGAAACAAAACCAGACAATAAAAGAATCCCAAAACTTCGCAACCTGGGATTTCAAAACCATGACCTTCTTTTTTCCTCTCTTCAATGCCATTCAAGAGTGCAAAGGTGTTTCAAGACATATAGATCAGGCTTCAGAAGTGGCAGCTAAGAAAAAAAAAAATAAGTGTGAAATTTAATTTAACAAGTTGAAGTAATTTTTTTAGACCTTAAACAGTGTCTTCTCAGCGATCAATAATTAATTCAGTTAAACTACCTTTCTTAATAATTGTTCTGTCTAAATACAGTGGAATAGCAAAAATTACCCACATCTTTTAATACAGGAAGACAGAGGCAGAAAAAAGTACTTAGTGGCATAGTAAATACTGTGGGGTTTAATTTTTAAAAAATTATTTAGTCAATTGAATGAGTCTATATTTGTAATATTCTAATTCAAAATGAAGAATTTGTCCTCTTTATTCTGCCCTTATAAAGCTCAGAATTTGAAATTCTCTGCGGGAGTGGAAATATATGGATTTGGGGTATCTTTAGAGAAACAAAAGTTGAAGTCCAGGAAATTTGGGTCTCAGAAATATTTTGTTGTCATAATTGTGATTATGTAATTAATAATTAACATCAGAAAAATTTAAAGATAAGTGCTCTTTAATGAATCTCTAGGTACTCTAGGCAATTCTTCCCAAGGAGATGTCGATTCCATTCTCCAACACCCATTATCGAATTCCACAAGGATTTGGGAATCTTCTTGAAGGCCTGACACGTGAGATTCTGAGGGAACAACCAGAAAACATACCAGCTTTTGCAGCAGCATATTTTGAGAACCTTCTAGAGAAAAGAGAGAGTAAGCTTTTTTTAAGTAGACATTTTTAAAATAAAAGACTTAAGCATTTGGATTATAGTAAAACTTATTTAAGACCATCTTTATTCTACAACAAGCCTTTAAGCAGGTGACTTCACATAACAGTTCTTGCTATTGGAAACAATATATGCCTCTTTGACAGCTTCTCTTGATTCTCTTATTCAAGATTACCTGTTTATTATTCAGACTTTCTTCACTGTGTTTCTCATGGACACACAGTGTGGAAGGGGACCTCTAAAGATCAGACAAGTGTTCCTCTCCACTATCTAAGAGACTGCTCTTGTGCATCCCCAATAGTTGACTTTCTGTTCTTCCTGAGAGGGTAATTTGCAATTTTCTTTAATTTTTGATTCTTCTCATTTGAAGGTATTATAAGTAATACAAAAATAATTCAACTTGCCTTAGATTAAATAAAACGGTCTTCACTGGGGTATGAAACCGTTCTTCAATAAAGGCACAGAAACAAACTATTTTGAAAAGTGAACTGTCAACATGGGAAGGTAATTTATATATTTTTATACTCTAAAACTCTCATCCTGCACAGAGACAAAGATCTAAAGGTAACTCTCTGATTGAGAACCAAAGCAAATCTCCTTCGCTACCATGAATAAAACTTCCAAATCCCCAGTCTTAAAGGTTTGTGACTATCATGACCTGACCCAGAATCAAAATTGGGAACTAGTAGTTATATAAGTTTATACTAAAAACCTATTCTTGACTATAAAATTCATTTTGTATAAACTGTTGTTATTGTTACTTTCAATGATAGTATTCCAACAGAATGGTAAAGGTGACTAGAAATTGCCACAAGCAGACAGATATTCCATTGCAAATCATTTTACAGAGGGAAGAATCTTAGCCCAAGGCTCGAATTCAAACAACTCACATGCATGGCACAGCTCCACCCCTTGTCCTCTTTATTCTGCCCTTATAAAGCTCAGAATCTCTGCCAATTTCCTGGCCATTGCTAGTCTTTTCCATGTCCAGTCAATATGAATATTTGTTGCACAATCTTTTTTAATATTTATTTTTTTTCAGTTTTCAGAGGATACAACATCTTTATTTTATTTTATGTGGTGCTGAAGATCGAACCCAGCACCCGCGCATGCCAGCCGAGCGCATTACCGCTTGAGCCACATCCCCAGCCCTGTTGCACAATCTTATTTATAGTTTTAAGTTGTACTAAAAATATCTGACAAACTATATTTAGGGAGAAAAGGTTAGTAAGAAAAATGCTTTGGAGAAAGAGGTAAATTATTATGAACACTAATTTTGTTATCATAACATTAATTTTACAAATTCACGCAGTAAAATGCCTTTAGTCATTTGTTTAATTTTAAAACTCAGAAACATAACATTACAGAAACGTTTGAGTCATCATTACCAGATCCCAGTAATAAAAGCAATTTCATTATTCAGGTTAATGGCCTGGGAATACTAGCTCAGTAATAAACAACCAGTAAAACCATTTGAAAAAATTTTAAGCACCATACCCACTTCCATCCATGTTAATCAAAGGTGAATTATCCAACTGATATAAGTATCAGAATTTAGTATCTCGAAAAAGGCAAAAGAAATCATGGAATTTCTTCTCAGTATCCCATACAATGCAAGAATTCCCTTACTATCATTCATCACAGGTGATTTTGTTTTAATGTTTGTTTTTGTGACAAAAAAACATATCAGTATATAAGTGGTATCTCAAATCACTAGGGAAACAGTGGGCTTTTTATGAATTGATAATGAATTAAAGAAGTTAAGAATAAAAGTAGACCGATTCAGAATAAATTCTAAATTGGTTGGAAATTTAAATATTAAAAAAAGAAACCAGGGTCTGGGTCTATGGCTCACTGGTAGAGCGCTCACCTCGCATATGCGAGACCCTGGGTTCAATCCTCAGCACCACATAAAAATAAATAAGTGAAATAAAGGTATTAAAATATTTTTTAAAAAAAGAAACCATACAAATACTAAGAAAAAAATATGAATAAGTTTCTTAATAACATAAAAAAATTGCTAACTAAGTTGCTTTAATGGCTTCAAATTCCAGATACAATTATGAACAGATTGATAAAAGTGATGTCATAAAAGTAAACTTTTACATAACAAAAAGTACCAAAAAGAAAATAAAACTACAAGTGACAGGGAAAAAAAAATACTTGTAATTATTATCCCAGTGGGTTAATAAACCTAATAAAGAGCTTGTAAAAACAGTGTCTTATGACCCACTTCTAATGACAACCATATTGAAAAAAGAAACAGATACGAATAATTCAGACAAAAATAAATGCAAATGGCCCTTAACTTGAAAATCTACTCAAATGCTGCAAGTAGAGGTTGGGATTGTAGCTCAGTGGTAGAGTGCTCACCTAGCATGTGCAAAGCCCTGGGTTCAATCCTCAGCACCACATGAAAATTAATTAATTAATTAAAGGCATTGTGTCCAACTACACCTAAAAAATATTTTTTTAAATGCTGCAAGTAACAGAAATCCAAATCAAAACTACACTGTTACCAACAATCATCCCTCCATCAAACTTGCAAAATGCTATTTGCCAGTACACTCTAAGCAAGGCTAGGGGAACATGCACTCACACAGTGGAGAAGCAAAATGGTACAACACGAAGGACAGAAACTCAGTAGTACCTACCAACATTATATATGTATTTAATCGTTGGCTCAGAAGTTCTACCTCTACATTTATGGAAACAACTTAAATATCCATAGTGGAGATTTTTTTTTCTTTAGGTACTGGGAATCAATCTCCAGGACCTCATGCACACTAGACAAATTTTGTACCACTGAACTGCACACTCAACCCCCATAATAGTAAGAGTATGTCTACTCAATGTAATAATATATAACTTAAAAAGAATAAGGAAGATCTCTAGATATTGAATGATCTTTAGGAATCAATCAGTGGGAAAAAAACAAGATGAGAGAAGGTGTGCTTAGTATCCTATTATCTAACAAAAGATTGATACGAATATATAACTTTATTTTAATGTAAGAATAAATCTTTTAAAATTAACATTTTCCTCTAGCAAAAGGAAACAGGATAGAGGTAACAAGATAAAATATAGTTTGTTTGGGTTTATTAATATTTAGCATAGTAATAAGATTAAATTTAAAAATTAAGCAATTCCTAACATTTAAAAATGAAGTTAAACAAATGAACTAATAGTAAGTAGGTGACACAAACACAAGGAAGAGAATTATTTCAAGTAAGTACATTACACAGTAATTTTACTGTACAAACCTGCTAGGTATAGCCTAAAATCAAAATAAACAACAACATAAAAACCTTAAAATGTTTTCAGTAATCATTGCTAATAATATTGTAATAGAATGTTATAATTGAATCAGAATGTCCCCCACAGGTTCATGTGTTAAAGGCTGTCCCCCAGTTTGTGGCACTGTTAAGAGGTGGTGGAACCTTTAGGAGATGGGGCTTAGAGAGAGACTTTAGATCA